CCTAGCCATCGCGGAGATACCAAAGCCGAGCTACGCCAGGACGATGCTGAAAGTGTCTCGCAGCCTTCCAGGTGAAACCGAAGAGGTCAAGGTACGAACGAGCGAAGGGAGTTTAGCTACTCTGATTGTCAAGAGACGGGACAAGTCGTTCCTGGAGGAACCAACGATCGGCGAGTCTTCTCCGGTGACCGGCAAACTCGATTTCGTCGAAAGGAACGAAAACGGTACAGCATTCGATGCGGGAAAAACTGCCAAGTACGAGACCATGAAGAAAGAAGAGGTCAGGAAGCTGGAGGAGGCTCAGATAGAACGACTTAGGGCTACGCTTTCGGATTCCAGCGGACAGAAAAATTCTCCAAGAGCGGAGAACGTCTCCGCGAGAAGCGAGGGGCTCGTGGTTTCTGAAAAGGATCAGGCTGTCAGCGAGAAAAATATCGATTACGGAAACTGGACGCCACTGGGAACCGATGGACGAGCGGTATCGTTGCTGGAGTCGACCACCGAGGAGTATCAGAGTTGGAAACCTCTTCGCAGCGATCCACAGGCTACCACGGACGAGAGAAGGAATTATGCCAGGCTCGATGGACCGCTTCCACCCAGCGGGCTTGTTTTGCTTCGACATTTTCAAGATCGATCGCAAAGGAAGTTGCAGCTCAACGATTCGCCGGGAGAGGAGGGTAGATACGCGTTTCTACCTCAGATCCGTTCCACCAGGACGAACGTAGGCGCGAATTTGTCGAAGAATAGGGATGCGAAGAATGTGCCACCGGAAGTGATCGTTAGGTCGGAGATAAACGTGAAATCGAGCCAGAAGAGGTCGCCGATGACACTGGACAGAGACGGCACCCCGGTGATTCACGGGAAGAGGGTTCCCGATGAACCTATAGACAAGATTCAAACCTGGCGCAACGCGAGGGTGATAAATAATAAGTTGATACGCGAGGGAACATCTACCGAGAACTCGGAACCCTCTACAGGCTTCTATCCGCGGCCCACGGAGAGTGCTGGAGAGAGACAGAGATTCGAGAGGTTCTTCAAAAATGTTAATCGAAGGTACGTTACCTCGTATAACAAATCCAACGATACATGTCACAATGATTAGGAAAAATACTTACAATATATTATAATAAAACAAACATATCGGAAACTATCAGACCTTAAACTTCTTTTCGGTAGAAAGAAGATAATTTTATGTTATTTCGAACATTCTTGTGGCAAATATCGTTGAATTTGGTTCTCGTCGTTGAACAGCTGTTCGGTGTCTGCGAGCAGTAAATTGATTTCATTCCGTGGCGATCGGGTCAAACGTGAAACCAATTTCCTTTTCATGAGTCTGTTCAACAGATACAGCAAAGACGTCGAACAGGAACAACAGGACAAGAACGTTTTCTTGGAGTGGGATCCGCAGAATTACAAAAACGAACCACTGAATGCAGAGGTGTACGAGCCAAGGAGCGACAATTACAGAGCCAGCACGCACAAGAGGATGCTGCACCCTGATGCCGCAGCAATTTACCCCGTTTCTCAGCTGTACACCCCGGAAAGCCAGAAAATCGCTCCGGTAGCACTGAAACCAGGCGCCAGAGCGCCGGTTCTTCAGTACGCTCATCCAGAACTTGGCGTCCAACCGGCCAAGATTCTCAAGAATGAGAAAAAACGACCTGACAATTTTCCAGAGAATCAATATTCGTTCACAGAGCAAAGACAGAAGAAAAAGTACGTTCTGAACGACAAGAACATCGTCGACACCTACACGACGAAGAATTATTATCCGAATCAGCATTTCTACGGTCTAAAGAGGCCCAACGACGCGCCGTTCTGGGTAAAAATATCGGAAAACCTGAAGAGCCAGTTTTCCAACGGCGTGGAAAAGGTCTCGCAATTCACGCGACCGGTAATCGATCCACTGGTGGAGGCTACTCAGAAAATCTCTCAGAACTTGGGCCTCTCGAAGGGCAACGAGGCTCAAGAGAAGATCGGTACCGTCGCTTCCACCGGTGGTAGCATTTTGATCCCAGCGTTAGGTCTCGTTGCATCGGGTGCTGCTCTAGGGATCGGCGCAGTCGCTGTTGGCAGGTACCTCGACGTTGACGTTCTCAAGCGGTCCAACGATCTAACAGGAACCGAAGTGGAGTATCAAAGATCCTTGAATGCCGATCAGCCGTTGCCGAGCGACTTGGAAGAACCGAATGGAAGAGAAACGATTGGAGGAACTGTGTACTTTCTGGAGAACGTGTCAGCGATCGACAACGTCGAGGCCGATGGTCGCGTCGAACCTCCGAACAATCGAAACGGTGTTTTGGTGATCCTCGAACAAGATCAAAATCGAGAGAGCAACTCGCGGATCGGAGACGGAGATCAGCCGACGACAAACGAGAGAAGAAAACGAAGCCTCGACTATCTGGACGTTCTTCGAGCGGAAAGAAGCTCCAAGAGTCTAATCAGAAACACGCGTCTTCAGAGGAAAGGAGCAGACTCTATGAGCGAGATCGTGGAGATCGATCTACCAGCTCGCGAAGGAAACATCGATGTGACGGAATTTCTCATTCCAAGGAAAGAACCGTCGGAACCGTACGACGCCGACGGGAAGAGAGACGACGCTGACGCAGCGATTCTGATCGTTCGAGACGGGTCCACGCCTTCGAAGCTGTTCGATGAGAAATTTGGTCAAAAGGTATTCGATAAGAATGATGTAGAGACGAAGAATTCCGTGGACGGAAGAAACGAGAGACGAAAACGAAGGAGCGTCGATAGCGATCAAGAACTGGAGGACGCTCTTCAGAACTTTGAGAACGACGGCCGAGTCGCCAAAGTCGCCGAAGCAGCTCGCATCGACAACGATTGGACCAATACGCCGTGTGCCAAGAGATTATTCTGCGACGCTATGATCCAGAGAGGTTCGGATGCAGTAATGCTAATGGAGAAGAAGATGGCCGCCCTTTTGGGTTTGTGAGTATCACTGGATTACGAGACGGCGGATTTCCAGATTGTTTTCTCGATGGCAAAAGCGAGTTGCGTGTTAAATAAAAAATAGTGGAAGCTTCGCTACTCCGTCGCGTCGGTGATGTAATAATGTTGTCCTCGTTACCATACCGTTACGTAGTTTTCTATGTTTGGTCGGTGGATAATCGGTCGGGGCTTTCTTTTTCGCGGGAAATAGGCGAACCTGCGAGACAATCGTCGGGACCAAATTTGGCCTCGGTGCGGGCAAATTTAAAAACGATGCTTCTAGGTTTCGGTTTTTAACGAATGTACAATTTATGATAATTAGCGATCCTTCAGGCGGAAGACAAGGCAGCCGATGAAACATCGCGGAAACCCGCGGTATCTTTGATTTTTCATCGACGCGTCTCGTCCCTTTCTCGGATCTTTCCTAAGACACGCGTGGCCCGCACCGCGCCCGCCACGACGCGCCGCGAACCGTGTATGCACAGAGTGAAACTGTGCTAAGAGGTAAAAGTCGAATCAGTCAGTAGGACGTCGCCGGCGAAAGCTGGAAGAAAGTTATCTGTTTCTCGCTATAGTTCCGTCTGGCCAGGTTGGTTCTTTGATTTTTCTCGTTGCTAATGGTATTGTTTGGTTGAAACCGGTAGCGATTACGACAAGCTAAGAAATTCAAGAGAACACGTATTTCGATTCGATGTTAACTCTCGACTCTGTTTCAGCGACAGGAATCCTTTTGTCGCTAGCAAAATATATCGGTAACCTTGAACGATAGCCTGTTTATCACAAAGCAAATTACAAATGATCTCGTTCCGTTAGGTATCGAACATTGTTGCGCGAGGTATCGACAGTCGCCGGGTTCGACAAACACTTGCCGAGCTTTCTAATGAATTTCTACTCACCATTAATCGTTTACCGTTTGCGTACCTTTTCAGAATCCAGCCTGGACCAGCTACTCAGGTGTCCAGCCATTTTCAAGAGGTCATGGATGCTGTTCGAAGACACGATTGTTCCAGCTTTCTGTGCCCTCAGGCTAGGCCAGGAAATGTCTTCTTTTAAATTCTCACGCATTCCGCTTAGAACGCTCCCTTCGCGGAAAATAGAACTGGTAAATCGTCGAATGCCGGACCGGTGATAGCAAAGTCGACTTGGATCGTCTCAAGTTTGAACAATTTTTACGATCATACGGTCGCGATAGAGACTATCTTCTCATAATCCAGTCGCTTTAGATTTACAATTAGCTCAAGTTGCCGGAGCGACTGAACAAAGACAATGGAACAGACTGTCCTGGAGAACGCGAATTGGTTTTCAACCAAAACTGTACATATCTGTCACCGTATTTAATACGCACCTAAGCTCGTAATTTAAGAGACTAGATTTAAGCGTTAAGAGTGAAATCGGTGAGATCAACGAAAGACTCGAGTGGGGCAGCTTCGACGTGACCTAAACTATAGTCTTTAGATTACTTCACACGTCCATCGTTGAGACTCGAATAAAATCTCGTATGTCGGTCGATTTTGAGTTTCCATCGGGTCTTCCCTTTCGCTCGACCGATGAGTTTCGAGGATCAAATTGTCTCCCATGAAAATTCGATGACTATTTCTTATTAACACGTGTAATGCAGCTGAAAAAGATATTTATTTTGTTGTTTTTTCCGTACCCGTTGCAGAGAAATAATGTTTTCATTATATGGCGTATCGAATGTATGTAAATTAGAAATAAACGGAATTTTTTACAGTAACCGTAATTGTTTAACTTGTTCGTAGTAGCGAAATATAACTGCCAATGGAAACGGAGAAGAAGCTTTACAGAGCCTGAGGAATACTACCTGATGAGTTCGATGCATTACAGGATGAATTAAAAATAAGCGCTTGATCGATCAGCCTAAAGACGGCTTCCCAACGTTTAGAATCGATTAGAGAATTTTTTCTGCCCAAATAGGCACGAAACTACGTCTACCATGCTTCTCTTCTAATTGACTTTGTTACATTTTTTTTCGGAGGAGGAACTTTTTACGTCTTTTCGCTTGAATCTGCTGAGAACAACTGGTAGGTATTTCGTGTCAGTCCTTCGTCCGTACAGTTTATATCGTGTATACGAAGTAACAATGGATTCCGAACAAGGTACAAAGTCCCTCCAAGTCGATTCGATATGTTGACACTTGGCAAATATTCTGAAATTAGTACGAGTATAAATATTTCTCAAAAATTCTCTATATATTCTACAATTTTACAACTATAAATTGTGATTTTTGATGATAATTAAAGTTTCGTAAAAAGTGTTTCTTATCCTCGGTGTTTGACATTCACTGATACAATACTGTCATAGATTTGAAAAAGGCAATCGGATGGAACCGCATAAACTTGCAACTAGTTGGAATTTGGCCAGAGCCGATGTCATCCAACGAACGGTTTGCGAATTGCAAAGCAGTGATACTCTGTTTATGGGTCATCGTTTTCGTAGCTGCGCCGCAGAGTATCCAGTTATTTATGTTAGGAGGAGACATCGAACAGATGACGCAAAATTTGTGCTTGGCTAATATACCAGTGATTAACGCAGTCATGAAAGTAATCGTTACTTGGTATCGTCGAAAAGGTAAGGATGATGAAAATGGAGTTTAAACTCTATAAGAAACGATTATTACATCATCAAATGAGCGACACGATATACTTTCTGAATCAATAAATCAACTATCTTTTATTGCTTTTAAACTGTTACTTATTTGTATGTCGAATTTTCTGCTCTTCTGCGCGTTTGTTTTTTATCGACTAATTTATTAATAAAAAAAAAAAAAAAAAAAGGAAAAAATGGCAAGTAATCATGGTTCAACTGAATGCATTTCAAGAACTGAAACCGCTCGTAAAATCCTTCTACGATGACTGGTACCGTTCGCAGAGCGAGGAAGAAAGAACGACCATGCTGAACAGGGCCAAGTTCACGACAAACATAACCGCATGGTGTACAATGCTAACTCAAACGATGGTCACGGTATATATCAGTCTTCGAGCTTTCACGATCATGACCTGCGACCAAAGCAAAGAGACGCAAGATCGTTTGGTACTGTACCCTGGTTACTTCCCTTACAACGTTCGGCCAACGGTAGTTTTAGTGCTGACTAACTTGGCACAAGCATTCGCCGCTTATTGCGCTACTATTCCCTACACCAGCGTCGACACTTTTATCGCTATGCTCGTGTTGCACATTTGCGCACAATTCGAGAATTTGAGGAGAAGATTGGAGGGACTCACGGACGAGAAAGATCGAACCAGAGACAGGGACCAGATCCAAAAAGAGCTAGTTTCGATCGTGGAGAGACACGAGCATCTAAACTGGTGAATGAAGATTTACAATATAGTACGGTCGCGTGGCAAATTTAAATTACTGCTCGAGTTCACGCCATGACATATATATATAAATATATACAGGGTGTCCCAAAACTCGGGGAGGAGCCGGAAATGGGGGGTAGCTGAGACGATTCTGAACAACAATTTGACGCGCATCCGACATTTTTGCAAAGGAAATTGTGGTTCAGAATCGTCTCAGCTACCCCCCATTTCCGGCTCCTCCCCGAGTTTTGGGACACCCTGTATACGTGTGTGTTTTGTTTTTCTTAAAGGGTTGCTACTAAGATCGAGGAATGTTTCAACCTGCTATTACTGCTTCAACTGTTGCTTTGCACCATCGAAATATGCTTTCAAGGCTTTTTATTCTGCAACGTAAGAATAGCAAACTAAATATCGGATATGAAAAACGTTCTTTCTCGATTTACGTAACTAGTGTATAAGTTAATCTTCTGTAAAAAATGACAAAGTGTGAACTTTCCAGGTATTACTCAAGAATGAAACAGGACTATTAAACGTTCAAATGGTATTCTTCGTGCTGTTTGTATCTTTCATTATAGTACACATGTACATTTATTGCTATATCGGTGAACGACTTCAGGTCCAAGTAAGTATCATGTCGGAATACCTTTTTCGATGGAACGAATACATCACGGAACATGTTTCAGAGCAGCGGAATGGCCATTTCCGCGTATAAATCAAACTGGTTCAACGTCTCACCGCCGGAAGCAAAAAACCTTATATTCATCATATGCAGATCTACTCGTCCACTTTGTTTAACTGCAGGAAAATTCAGTACCTTCTCGATGGAAATGTTTAGTAGTGTAAGTACGAGTTCGATAACATTATCGTAACAATAATTGTAAAAATAACCTGGTCGTTTCAGATTCTGAAAACGTCAATGGGCTACCTTTCAGTTTTACTGACAGTTACCAGCGGTAGCGACTAAACTTTGTGATCGAAAACTAGACATTTTGTAATTAAAGACACCAAGATATCGCTTATAAAATTTCACCAACCTTCACGCGTTAGTTTTGTATGCAATCATCGTTTTCCTCGATGTTCCATCACAGATTGTATTCGTACTTATATTATATTATATTATATTGTAATCAACAACATTTTTGGAAGAAACGTTACGCGCAATCGTAAAGATTAATCCTTTAAATACGTAATACGCATGACTTGTGACTCTGCGTCGATTCTAATCTGCAAGCATAATAGCATTATAGAACAGATCGTACACTTGAATCGTTCGAATTCGTACTGACACGTATGTGCAATTGTGCATACGTGATCCTTGCGCGAGCATATTTCCAATCCATGGTACAAGCATGCGCGAAGAAAGAAGCAGGGGTGTGTTTCGAACAACGGATAGCCTTTAGTTACCGGAAGGAAACTCCTGCAACGGTCTCAATGGATGTTCAACGAGGTCAATAATTTTAGTAATGAAATTCCACAGATTCGATTTTGCATACTTCTGTTTTCTATCGTTAGATTTGGAGTATGTGTACAGTTGGAATTATTACACGATGAAATTCATGGGCATTTGGCCGGAAGAGAGAAGATGGAATCAACCGTCGAGTTATCGAGTGTTGATTCCAGTTCTCATGATGCTATGTTTCATTTGCGCTGCCCAAACAGCAAATATACCAAGAATTTCCGACGACTTCTACTTGATAGTTGAGAATTTGTCGATGGGAAACATAACGATTACGATTTCGCTCGTAAAAACGATTGCATTTTGGATCAACGGCAAACGTGAGAACACATTGCGTCATGCATTTTATAGTAATATTCGTTTCTGCAGGTTAATCGTAACAAACATTTCCCCATTTGAAAGAATTGAAATCTCTACTGAAGTCCATAGCCGGGGATTGGCAGAAAAAGATAAGCACCAGCCACCGTCGAAAGATGGTAAATGTCGCAAGGATCACCAGAATCACGATAATAAGAAGCACGCTGATGTGCAACGCCGTGGTGGTCATTTATAGTCTGTTGCGAATTTTTACCATTAAATACAGCGGTACTAAATTACTCTTTCGCGCTTACTTTCCATACGACATCAACACCAGTCCTAATTACGAGCTGACCGTTTGCGGACAAATCATTGCCGCCTTCTACGCTGCCATCTCTTACACGGCGGTTGACACTTTTGTGGCAATGCTGGTGTTTCATGTCTGCGGACAGCTCTCGATTTTGAACGATCAGATCAAGGAGCTTCCAACTTATGACAAGACGGATATCCGTGTAAAATTGGCGGGAGTTGTTCAAAAGTTTGAGTATCTTAAAAAGTCAGTATTAAATTTAATCTAATTTACCAATGTGCTTATCAATTATGCGGATTTTCCAAAGGTTCACAGAAACGATAGAAAACTGTTTCAACCTGATGCTTCTACTTCAGATGATCGGGTGCTCCGTTCAGCTGTGTTTTCAATGTTTCCAAGCTATCGTGGTAAGGAAAACGATTTCTTCTCTGGAAAAGAAAACGTTTCCCTTGGAATAAATATGCCCTATATGTCAGTTCATTGACACGATTTTATTTATAGTCGATCGACGACGAAATAAACGAATTCGTGATTTTTCAACTCGCGTTCCTGTCGCTCTACGTTATTTACGTCCTGCTGCAATTATACTTGTACTGCTATGTAGGGGATAAACTTTTGGACGAGGTACGATTGCTTAATAAAATAAGATGAAAATAATCCTCGATCCGACGTTTTCTTTCTTGAACGTTCCTCGATCGAATGACGATGTTTTTGTTGCAGAGCACAAAACTAGCTGATGCTGCGTACAACTGCGAATGGTACAATCTGTCGGCTAACGATGCAAAACTGCTTGTAATTGTCATAATACGAGCAAGATTACCATTGCGGATCACTGCAGGAAAGTTTTGTACTCTCACGTTAGTGCTTTATTCCGACGTGAGTATTTACAAACAAATTCCAACGGTAATACATACCGTTTTACGTATTTTGCATCGAAATCTATAAAATACATTCGAAAATTATTACGCCATCGCCTTTTTTCGTTTCAGATTTTAAAAAGATCGATGGGTTATATTTCCGTTCTGTACGCAATGAAAAGTAAATAGATGTTCGACGACGAGTTGAACATTTAAAAATACTTTAACTAACAATGAAAGTTGTCTTTGTTTTCGAGATACGCGATGTAAATGCATTAGAAATTGAATGCAATGTATGTTACAAGAATAAAATGTACATTGAAAATAATGACATATATTTTTGAGAGTAAAGAAAGAAAGAAAGAAAGAGAGAAAAGTATAAACTATTAACTAGATCCTTTGAGAAGCCTGTAGTTTTCGTGTTAACTATGCAACGAAAGCTCGATGATATTAGTCCGTTCGGCTCCCTATAATTTCATGCTAGGGGATGTGTCGCTTTTCTTTCGAAGAACGTTGGGTGCATATTTGAACAACTTTAAGTTCATGTAGAATTGCCTGGTTATGGACGAGTCGCAGACACGCGAGTAGCATTTATCGATGAATATTTTAACAGATTACCGCCATTGCACACCATCGGTTACAACTATTCTTACTCGTCCAAAAGGCTGGTATTGGAAACGAGAATTTAAATATTTATGCTACGAGAGTATGGGTTCTTGTTTTACCTGTTCGAATGTGCGTGTTTCGCGACACGTTATTTCATTTGTATTGTATTTTGTTCTCGTACAAGGAACGAAAATATGAAATTGCAGTAATAAGAAAGCAGACCTTAAACCCTGAGGGTTGCCATTACGTCCTAGAACGACAGAACAGTCTCGATTCGTAGATCAAGTAAAAGTTGACAAACGTCGCGCTTTCACCGCTTATTTCCGTCAACGACAAAGAAAGTATTCGTGGAGCTGTAGAACAACGCGTTCGAGGAATCTCTAATAAACGTGATTAAATGTTGTGCGTGGTTCAGCGTCACAATGGGAGAAAACAAAGAGACATTAGATCAACCTCGGTTTGATGCACACGGATAAAAACGAACGGACTTTACGGTTTGCTGAGAAAGCAAAAGCCACCATATAAAAATCACCGTTCTCGTCCCCTCTAGTGTCATTTAGTCTCCTCGCGTCTTGGTTTTGTTCTTTTGCTCTGCTTAAAATCTCCATTCGTAATTATTTCCTGTGTTTTATAAGAATCTCAAGTTTATGGCCGTTGGTACTAATTGTTCGAGGGTATACGATTGATTTTTTGAGAAATTACTATCGGTCGATGTGATTTCATCGGTACAAGTGACTCGGAGGATGACGGTGTTAAACGTGAAATTTTTAATACTCGTGACGTTGGTGAGTTGCGGTGTTTTTGCTCGAAACACGGACAATAACCACGATTTCCTAAAAGAGACGCACAAGAAAAAGTACGGGGGTTCCATGTTGATGGAAATCGCGAAGGAGCTTGTGCAAAGGTCCTCGAGTAGCAGTCAGGTAAGTAATCGTTCGCAATTCGATTTATTCATTTTTCTGCATTCAATAATTATATGAAAGCTGCGGTGTAATGTCGATTTTACAAATATATTTACGATTTTGTAGGTGCTGAATTTGAATTTGTCAAATTTATTGCTGCTTTTGGTACTAAAAGCAGTCGTATTTGGTGCTGGATATTTAGGCAACCACGGTCACAAAGGCCGTGATCTGGAAGAAGGTTCTGTTAATAAAGAATTACAGTATACAGTGTATATGTACATCGATCATTTCTTGTATTAATGTATCTTCGTTTAACGAGAAAACGTCTTTACAGAAAATATAATATCCGAAGGAGAGGTTGCGTTGGCGTTGGGATATCTAATAGGAGACACGTGTTTGTACAGAGCAGCTTGCGAAGAACCACGCGTAGCAAAGGAATACGTAGGTGCCGCAGAAATGATTATTGAAACGATGAAATTGTTACCCCAGTAAGTTAAACATGTAATTCGATGTACTTTGAGAAATGATTTATATGTACTGTGTTTAATATTTGATAGAAGTAAGTCAATCGAGGAGAAATACGAAAAAACTCTGATGGAATTTCGAAAGGCCATCGAACATGGTACCATCGATGGTTGTCCACCAGAATATACTTGTAAAAAAGAGAACATCAAGAACTTTTTGACGGAAGAAAGGAAATAATCGTAAAAATGTTGCATGTTACAGTTATTGGTTGAAAGATAGTTAGCGTGTTTCGATACGCGAATGCGTATTCAAATGTACAATACTGAAATAAGAAATAAAAACTGTTTACCTTACAAAGTTGTTTGTTTATTGACATTGACACTTTCCTCAATCGTCGTAAGATGTCAGTAGAGAATGCGACACCTAACCTAATCTGCGAAACGCACCGCACCGACTGACGCTTGCTCACCAACGACACCAACGCTCACTGGCGCTGCTGACGCTGACAATTTAGTTTTGATTTTCGCTTATTCACGTCGTTTGCGTGTATAAACAATTTTTCTTGCCTAAAGTGCTACAGTATACTATAGCCACAATTTCTTTGAAAAATGAGTTCTATAGGAACGGGGGTAAGTATGTTAATTGTAGAATAACGCTATGAAACCATTAACGGTGATTACAATGGAACTTAACCTCGTTGGTAATTTCAGTATGACTTATCCGCATCTCAATTTTCACCGGACGGACGTGTTTTTCAAGTGGAATATGCGCAAAAAGCTGTTGAGAACGGAGGGTGATTATTAAAATTACTTTGTTCAACGTTTTTCTTTAAACAAAAACTCCAGTCCGATTACCTAACCTGTTCATACATTCCCTATTCGATTTCCTCTCAATCATGTTTTCGTCAATTAATAATTTTAATCGTACATTTAAGAATTAGATCATTCTCCTTACAGAACAGTGATAGGTTTGAGGGGAAAAGATGGCATTGTGTTTGCCGTAGAAAAGATAGTCACATCGGAGCTCTATGAACCTGGCACAAATAAAAGAATTTTTAATATCGACAAACACGTCGGTATGGCAGCATCTGGTTTGATTTCCGATGCAAGACAGATAGCGGAAACCGCGAGATCCGAAGCATCCAGTTATAGATCTCAGTATGGAGTCGGCATCCCTTTAAAATACTTAAACGAAAGAGTATCCATGTACATGCACGCTTATACTCTGTATTCAGCTGTGAGACCATACGGGTGCTCTGTAATTCTTGGCACCTATGAAAACGGCACACCATTGATGTATATGATAGATCCATCCGGTGTATCGTACGGATATTATGGTTGCGCTATTGGTATGTATAAATTTACGTGATACATTTGGTACATTCCAAAGTTTACCTTAAAATTTGTTTAATAGGCAAAGCAAAACAGTCCGCAAAAACGGAAATTGAAAAGCTAAAACTATCAGAAATGAGTTGCAACGAATTAGTTAAAGAAGCAGCGCGTATTATCTATCTTGTTCACGATGAGCTAAAAGATAAAAAATTTGAGCTCGAAATGAGTTGGGTGGGTGAACACACTAACGGAAGGCACGAACGTGTACCAGTGGATATTCGGGCTAATGCCGAGTCAAAAGCAAAACAAGCAATGGCAGAAGATTCAGACAGCGACACCGAAGATATGTAAATTGCTTGAATAGTCTCATAAAACACTTTTTATATTGTAAGTTGTAATTTAAATACACAAAAACATACTGTTACGAGATCCTCTTTGTCCGTGAATGGTCCGAATAAAAAATTTTCCTGTTTATGAAACTAACAAAAATGCATTTTCACTTTGATGAGCCGAATGTTTGATAACAATCACGGTGTCGTAGTTTTCTAATCTACAAATAAAAATCCAGATTAATACCTATTTCGTTACACGTCACCTTCTATCGTAGCCATTTATTTAACATGCGTTATGCGAACAGACTAAAAATCATCGTTCGTAATAATCCACGATTGATGAGTATGATCCCTTTGTGCCATTAATTGGATTTAGAGATTTTCTTTTGTCTTCGACTAACAACTATTTCGATTTAATCAAAAGAGAAACACGTAAAAACTGAATGAAACGAACAAACTAAAATAAATTCATGATTTTATTGCACTTATATTCGTCGTTAAATTTTGGTTTATTTAAGTAATAAAAACGGAACAGAAAGGAAGAAGAAGAGCTTATGGAACTAGGTGTACTCTATTCGTTGTACTATTATTCGTAGCGCTTCTATCGTATCAGAAGAAAATATAACTCATGGTCGCGTATGAATGCCGGAGGGTTAAGAAGAACATTTTCTTCGCCACGAAGAGATAACTCCCATCGCGACCCCTTTCTAATTCAGTGATCCCGCAATAATAAGGCGCGGACGGTGCAGTTGATTTCGCGCATGCTGGTTTTTCACGTCGAGGGGGGTTGGTTGTATCCGGCAGCGGCGAGTGGTAAAGACTACGCGTAGCAGAGGAGAGAGGGTAGTTTCAGCCGGGCTTTATATAAGGGTAGGTAGAGTTTGAAATTTCGCCACTGATTTTTATCGATGGATACGATCCGTTTTTCGCGCGTTTCGCGTCAGTAAGAGGTACAGAGATCAATCGTCGCGATTGTTCTACAAGCCACGTGGCATTTTTATTTGGTGACCGGTACCGAATCACCATCCTTCGCGTTTATCTACTCTCGCGAAAAGGAATGTCATTGAATCACAGCACCGTGGTGGTGCCGGATAATATCGGCGAGGAACATGTTAGCCCAGCAGTTTACATCGGCGCGGCGATCGGCCTCGCTTTTATCGGTTTCTTCGGCTTCACCATGAACCTGTTGGTCGCAGTTGTGATCGTCAAGGACGCGCAGACATTGTGGACACCCGTGAACGTGATCCTCGTCAATCTTGTCGTAAGTGTTCAATGCAAGTTCAAAGACGAACGTAAAAGTGTTGCGGAGAGCAAAGATGCGTCTCTTCTGATATCGTCGACAGTCAGAAATGTCAGAGTTTTTAACGGAGTTAATTATCAGAGATGGGCAAAACCCTAGGATTCGAATAAGTCTAAAGTTTGCCGATGTGCTTTTCTCGTTTTTTTCTTTGGAAAATGTTCAGAAGGGGAAACGAATTCCAGGGTTTTGCCCATCTCTGTTAATTATCGAGTCATGCTTATTGTTTCTCAACTCTTGTTGTCAAAGATCGCCAATCGGTGATCGTCCGCTGTCGCGTTGTTTAAGTATAATAAATATAAATACAATCGAGAAACAACGAAAGGTGAAGCTTCGTCGAGGTCGTAGGTATGTATACATTCCAAGAAGCGTTGCGAAAACATGCAAAGATCATTACGTGTTCCAAGTATCGAAGTTGAATTTTAATTTACGAATTCCAGTGAACGTTGGAATGCGCGACGATGAAAATCTCACGCGATTTGTGACATCTTTGTGTCGCGAAGACTGCAGAAAATGTTAATGTTTGCCACGCACATATGTCATCCGTGGTAAGCCGCATCATACGCAGCCCCTTTTTTCCTCGTACGCGTACAGCAAAGTAGGAGATGTGCTAAGCATATTACGCGCATCGTTCCAAGGATTTACTATACACGAAAACGACATCGTTTAAACGTCGATAAAAGTAACGCTTCTCTCTGTTTCTGCAAAGTGTACCTTGTTAGCTAAATAATTCTATCCATTACTTTTTTACCAGTCACTTGCAATGTTCTCGAATATTTAACACTTTTTCGACGAAATTGCACACCTCGTTGATCATAAGATTTTAATTAAACGAGGTAGTTAAACCTCGCTTTTGTTCCAATTTAAATATACTAAGGAACGCGAAACGAGGTACGCTCGTTTTACGATGTAATATTATATTTATTAACGCGTCGTCGATATTAAACCTTGATCGAACCGTTATCGAAAAATCTTGGAACCTGGCTTCGACGGTTGTCGAAGAACACCTGTACCCCTCGTTGCGGGATGAAAATGTAATTCGAGGGACATACTTTGAACTGTTATAACCGTTTGAACCGTTTTTAACTCGATAAAAACGTCTTATGTCTGCACGCGCATAATACGACAATGATTCTTTTCAGGTTGGCGATTTTTTAGTGGCCGCTCTTGGAAATCCGGTTGCCATGGTTTCGGCGATCACTGGAGGATGGTACTGGGGCTATAAAGTGTGTCTCTGGTACAACTTATTGTTTATTAACTGAAATTACACGGGATTTCTCTGAGGAGCGGTGGCAACCTGCTCCTCCGTTCGTCGTTTTCCTTTCACCCTGAACGAACATGGTCTCTCTTTTGTAGCTGCACCGTGCACGGTTTCTCGACAGAGAAACTGAATTCGTGCCGATGAAACTTGTCTGAGATAGGGAGTTCTGATCGATTCGAAAATACTCAAGCAATTTTCATAACAGAAATGCACGCAACATTGTGTTTGTACTCGAGACCATTAAGAGTTTAATAATTGCTAGGAATAAATTGTAGGGATAGAAGACAATTTATCTAGATGAAAATTTGGAAAATTGACATGTTCGCGCAGCCAGTGCGATGTGATTCGTTAATCATAATTACCGAAATAAGCATCATTAGTCTTTTTGTTTGCGATGTTCTGCTGAATGCGGCATCTCATTTCATCGATAATCATAATAACCGACTCTCGTGTTCGCTAATTTATTAAATTGTCGCGTTTTATCCTTTATGCTTCTATTAATTTTCAACCGTTGGTCTTTATCGATTGTTCTTTTTCTTTTTCCGCATTGGCGTTCTTTCTAAAGACACGAGTAGTGCGATATCTTTTGACCGACGTAAGTATTGGATCCAGCGTGTTGCTTCAGGACTACAATATCGTGATTTCCCGGGAGAATTTTTCATTCAATTTTATGTGCCGCCGGCAATAGCTTGTTACAGCTTTGTCAAAATTGATCTCATATCAAATCTTAAACGCTCATGTCGGAGAACTCTTCCAAAAGGTACTTTACGCTTAAACTTCGAATATATCGGCAGGAATCAACCGAACGGCCAATGTTGAGAAAATTAACTAACTTTATTTTTGTTAACGAATGATTTCAATTCAAGGTACGCCTGGTTCATGTCTACTCTGGGATTTGTCAGTATTGGTAACTTGACGGTAATGGCCGTCGAAAGATGGCTCCTGGTCGCTAGACCAATGAAAGCATTGTCCATAAGGTAAGGAATATTCTATATCTTCGTACGTTATTCGAGTTTCGAAAGGGTTACTTTTTCAAAAAACATGACGGGTCTCGGTCTCGACTCGATCAATTGAATCATAAGGCAAACCGAAAGGCTCGGGGTTCCGCTCCAGAAATCTTCAGTTGTCGCAACGCGACGTTCGTAAAGAATTTACGAACAAAGTGGATCGCAACTGGTCGCAACAACATGCGTTACCCTTTTCAGTGGCAATGGCAATTGGAATGCAAACCATCTTCTAACGTCTCCGACAGAACATGACAACATTTCTATAATCTTTGACGATCCAAAAAGGAGTTTACAATAGCTATTTTTAGCGCATCCTAACCGCAATTCCGAGTATCGCTATCGAGGATAAGGTCGTGTTTCGTCGTAAATTACATCTCTAATTAATACTGGATTAACAACAGTAGCCTCCCCTTTTTAACTGCTTTCAGCACTGGAGTAGAACGTAACAATAAAGAGAGGGATTTTCATCGAGTTCTTATTAAAATCGAGCTACTATGACAAATTTCTTAACACTCTCCTGGTATGCAAATTTCAATACGTAAACGCAAAAAATGTTACATTTTGTAATATTAAAAAAAAAAAAAAGAAAGAAAGAAAGAATAGCATTTCATAGGACCATTTAAACACACGATGTCATCTTTTAATTTGTGCGCTGGTCCCAAGTCCAAGCGTAAAGTGAAATAAAACAACTATAACCGCAAATTACAGCAATCCCAACTGCAACCGCAAATAAAATAACCTTCAGTCGCACAAATTATTATTTACCACCGCAAACAACACTGTTTCGCGAAGTCTGACTGCGAGAGGCACCAATTTTCCGCAAATAAAATAGCATGACATACATCCCCTAAGTCAGTGCCTTCCTTTTTTTTTTTTTTATTATGCGAGTACAATGTAATACCACGAAACGATGCTCTCGTAAAAACCATCTGCTTTCAACAGGAACGCCATGGTATTGGGTTTGTTCGTTTGGGTATACGCACTTTGTCTTTCCGTGCCACCGTTTTTTGGTTGGGGAAGCTACGGTCCTGAAGCAGGAAACGTGTCCTGCAGCGTTTCCTGGGAGGTCCACGATCCAGCTACGAGAAGCGACAGCTACATCGGTTTTCTGTTCTTGTTCGGTCTCGCTGTGCCTGTGTTGGTGATCGGCACCAGTTACGTGGCGATTCTGTTAACTTTAAGAAAAGTGAGGAGGAGATCAGGTAATTTCGCCACTCTTTAGGCGGAGGAAGTCACATTTTCGGGATAAAATTGGTGTTATAATTTAGGTTCACGCGGAAGGCTTGAAGCAAGAATAACGAAAATGGTCGCGTTGATGATAACTGCCTTCTTGCTTGCTTGGTCGCCGTACGCGGCTTTGGCCCTCGCCGCTCAGTATTTCGACGTAAGTACGTTCAATATACCCATCTACATTCAACATACGTGACTTACGGGAATAAACAAGTTTTTACTAAAACAAACCAAACGTTCGCTTGCGTTCCGAGAAAGCAATATTTTCCGTACGTTTAAAAATGCAGAATAAAACCGTATACCGTTACGCGGAAAATAACTCTTTCTTCTGCACGGTACGGGTGCTTCGGATTAACGTGTGCTACGGTGAAAGTATTGTTATGATTTCCTTAATACCATCAAGTATCATTAACGCGCGCAATGCCATGACGACAACCGACACTGAACTTGGTTGCGACGCCAACGCCGACGCCAACGCCGACGCCGATGCGACGGTAGTTTTGGATAATTTTGTTCTCTGGACTGATTTTTCAGGCAAAACCGTCGGCCGCGGTGGCCGTGCTTCCAGCTCTGCTTGCCAAATCCTCCATTTGTTACAATCCTATTATCTACGCGGGCTTGAACAGCCAATTTCCTCGGTCTTTAAAGAAGATATTCGACACACGCAGTTCGAGGATCATGTTGCCGGAGAGTCAGAACACGGCGCTAACCGCTCTGAATAAGCTAGAGCAGAGAAACTGAGAATGAGGATCGGTAACGCTGACGAGCGGCCTAACAGCGGGAATGATCCCACATTGGAAACCTTTGATTCTTCGAGTATCGACGTAAGCACTTCCGCGACAATAAATTCAATATATCCGCTGAACAGCGATTCAATCATGTGGTTTTATTGTGTTTGCCAGCTGCTAATTCTCGTGAACTTTTCGTTAGATCAGAGATGGGGAACCTGTAGCCTAGATCCCGAATGCAATCAGTTTGTAAAATGTGACCAACTTATATTTTGGTACAACTTTTTTATAATTTTAGCAAATTGCCGAACTGCCGAAGCGTGAAGCGTGAAGCGCGAAGCCTTCCGAGGAATACGTGATACGACGCACGTCCTTTCACTGACAAAGGTTCCCCAGCTCTGCGTTAGACGCACACCCTGCCTTGTTTGCACGTTCGTTACGAATTCATGTATGCGCGGATCCCTTGTTTTCGTCATAGAGAGAAAAAAAAACGGTGACGAAACGCACCGTTTGACCAGCTTGTAAAAAAATGTTAGCACTTGGACTAACCGCACCACGTGGAACATCCTAAAACTTCAATGATACGCTGTTTTTCTCCTATTCTCTCGTTGTTTTCTTTCGTTTCTTCGCGAGTACGAGATTTCGCCGCGCGTTAATTAACACAGTGGTTTCTTCACGGAAACCGCGTTGGCGTGACAAACGGAAAAGAGCGTAACGAACGTCTTGACGCGAACCTTCGTGATTCCGCTGAATAATGGACGTCGATTGCGCAGTTCCAAACTAGTAGATCATTTCTTAAGACGACGATCTCTTATTTATACGTTACATAGTTCACGGACACCGTTTCGAATCACTCTCAACTAACAAACTTAAACATCAAGTATCGAATGCGGAATTTTAAATATCACCCTTTGAGGGTTATTCGAGTTTTTCAAATTATACGTTAAACAAACGAAAGTGTTTGTAGTAGTTGACACTTGTTATTTCGGTAGTAGATAGTTGGGGGAAAGCGCAAAGAAAGTAGACGGCACAGCATGTTTTGTCGAATGAACACTTCAAGTTTAAAAAATTAAAAAATTAAGTAACAACAGGAGTACCTGAGTATCTTGATTAAAAACGTGTACTCGGAAACTACTGTGTTCAAAGTAACATTACTAAAAATGCTAACTTTCACATTTTTTTCCGAAAATTGTCCACTACTATCGACTACCGGTGCAATACTAACGAGGAAAGTTTCCGTCGACCGAGAATTCGAAAGACAGCGAAACAACTCGAGAAAAAGCAAAAAGAAGAAAGAATATTTTGTACAAGTAACAGAGGTTGGTACTTTAGATGTATATCTAGGATACCAGGTCCTTATCCAAGGACTACCATTATTTATATATATATATATATATACTTTCAACGGCACGCGTGGTTCGTTAATTTCTTTTTTACGGTGTCTGCGTGAATGAGATTCTCGTGGAATACGACTAATTGGCACAAAAAAAGATAAAAGCTAATGAAAAGCAGACGCGCTATGAAAACATAAAGGTGAATATCATAAGTAAAGTTTGTATGGTCCAGTGTAATTCTTTGATTGGTTTTCATTTGCGCTCGAATTTCATTTTTAAACTATTCGAGAGAACACCCACAACAAAAGTACAGGACGCAGTTAAAACGCAAAGCATGTAAAACACACGTGAAAGAGAATTGATTAAAATCGCGAATATTGGACAGGAAAAGATAGACTCGCCACGGTGGAAAAGTACGAACTTAAAAAAATAATCGTATTATTTCGCCACCGAAACTCAATGCAAATTCCTTGTATCGAAACAATCGTATAACAGATCATAAAAGATCGATATATCGTTACGCGGAAGGAAGTACCGATAAATAACGCACGCGTTAATAAACAGGGCATGCACTGCATCCCACCAACGATGTTTGGTCGTAAAAAGCGCACGTTACCATATCGAGATTGTAAAGATTGCCGTCGCTAATAAAATTTCTATCCTGCTAGACGCCCGTAGAATAAGAATCGGTACAGTGATATTCCCACTATTTCTTTATCCTATGGCGTCATTATGGCACAGGGACACTGATGAATTTGGGCTTACAATTCGTAGCACGCGCGATTATGCCACAACAGCGAAAGTGAAATCGCGAGGAAAATTCAACGTGGCTGTTCGCACGGATTAAATCGTGTCCATCCGCGAGCAACTTTCGACAAGTCTGATTTTAATTCGATAAATATACTCGTTTACGTTCTATTTTCGATACGGTATTGACTCGAATATAGCTAGGTGTTATGGTAATAATTAGACGTACCGGTGCAATCGTTTCATTTCTTCCTCTCGAAGCGGAAGAAGAGAAACGCGAGACGAGCAAACGAACTGTAATTTGCCCCGACAACGATCCAACTGTTACGTAACGATTAACTGGCTGTTTCGGAGTCCGCGAAAAATCGTTCGGATACGGTTTTATGTACGTTGGGACGCGATACACGTTTCAAATAAAGGGAAAATGGATCCTCGTAAACGGCGACCAGACTGGATGAATTGGGTCGTCGAATCTTGGATTTTTGATTGCTATAATCAGCGCTCGTGACTGTAATGAAACGATGGCAAATGGCAAGGTAATTTTTAACATGCGAGTCATTTTCAAATGTAAACTGATTTTAGCAACGTACGCGAGAACATTTAGATACGAGCCAGATTTTAGCAAAAGCACAAGTCGAATTAACTATTCCACGGAGAGACCGTCAATTTCAGTGGAAGATATTTTACGAAACTCGTGCGCATTCTACAACGCGTTGCAAAAACGAGCAAAACGACGATTGCATGGCTTCGTTGGCACTGTAACGATTAAACGAGATTCGAATGCGAATAAAGCCCCGAACATGTAAAAACTGTGGCGTTTTAAAGGCGTTATCACCCTAACTCGGTGTATCGGTGAGACGTGGAAATATTTGCAAGCATTTAGTTTTCTAAGGATCTTGCTAAGGGACTGTACGAAACGTGCCCGTTAATCGATGGATAAGCGGTGGATATAGCTTTATTGTCCCGGGATGATGCGGTAACGCGGAAACTATTAAACGTAGAGATTGGATTTGCAGCGTCTAAAATAATTAATCGGTGAGAGGGTTAACATTACGAGACGCAATCGTGGTGATTTCTAATGTTCGCGGTAGAGCGAGTTTTCCCTCGATCCGTTCTTCTTTTCTCGGCCCGATCGAGCGGATATGACACAGAGCAGAGCATCGCTGCTCCTTTCACGGACCGTTAAATCGGTAAATTACACTTGCATAGAAATCACCGATTCTGTCCGCCGCGTTTTCCATGATAAAGCCGCCTGCATTTCGGCGATGTTTCGGCATTATGCAGAGAAAGAAAGGTCGTGGGAAGTCCTGCTCGGAAAACAATAACGTATACTTCACGTAGGCCGTTTTCTTTTTCTTCTCGAGTTATCGATAAAAAAACGACGTCGTTTCGATATCTAGCAAACAGCGTAGCAAAGTGTTTCAATAGTAAAGCACTCGCAATGAAGTAACGGTATCGAACTAGTGAAATTTGTCCTAATTCTTTATTTCGCCGCGATTCGCAAAAGTCTAAACGAACCGCTGATCGTTCGCGTTTCTACGAAGTCGTTTCTTCGAATGTTCGATGTTCGCTTGACGCGCTACCTTTTAACCATTGGATTGAAAAATCCTTTTAAAAACCGTTGGACAGGTAAGCCTTCGTTTAAGGTCGTTCCCATTGACAAAACGAATTGGATCGTCTCGACAGTAAAAGAGAAACTCGAGTACGCGAACACTCGATCGTATCGAAATTTGGGTGTGTCAGTTTATCCTCTACCAATAATAATACCGATATAAATTCGACCCGCATAATTGCATAAAATTAATATACGGTGTAAAGCGAACACGGATCTAATACAACGACTCTTTGTATTTCGAGTTCCTGATCGTAATCGTAGGAACGTAATCTTTTGTTCGCGAGCTATGGCCTGGTAAAATAATCTTTAATTGTTTATGACAAAACGAAGTAAAAAAATATAACAAATGTTTGGATTTTTCGATGAGAAAGGTGACGTCCCCTCTTAAATGATCCAAGTTACAGAGCGAAATCACCAGCCAACCCTTCGCGATCGGATCACTGGACTGGAGCTTGCTTGTCACAAGTTCCCCGTTACGGAACATCTTCGCGAACGAGACTGCCGAAGAACAAGAAGTAAACTGGTGGGAGGCAAAACTCTCTCTCTCTCGAGCACAGCTGATCATTAAAGCTGCCGCTGGCCAGTCAAACTTTCACGCTCGGTGATAGCCGAGCTTCGTGCATTGGAAACACGTCGAGAACTTCAAGGTCCGCGAGAGGTTCGCCGGAAATCGATCGGTCGATTTTTCTTTAATCGCGGTGGTGTTGCGTCTCGTTGTCATCTCGTTGTCGTGAAACCAGATATCATTTGAAATTGCCGCCAGTGTGTTGGACAAAGTTATTTTCAATAAAAAAAAAGAAAAAGAAAGAAGTCCCGGGTGGAAGGTGAGGAAATTCGGTGCTAGTGTCGCGGAGGGACGCGTTCGAAGGTGCTCGAGTAAGACTATCGAACGACGAATCGATAGCTTGGCGGGTGGAACAAATTTGTTTTGCAGAAATGATACGTGGAATTGTGACGAACGAGTTGACGAGAAAGAAAGAAAACTCTGGTACTTGGTAGGGGAGAAGAAGAAAGTCGAAGGCGAAGAGCAAGGTGAGAAAAACTTTTCTGGCAAATTTCGAACACTCGTTACGGACCATCGATCGTGCACCTCGGACCAAGCACCCGAAAGAGTTTTCGACATGGTTATCGCGATTGGACTTGGCGTCCCGATGCGAAACGATGTTTCCAACGATTCTAGATTCTACGAGCGATGACAAGTTTTGGGGCAAATTATTCTCGAAACTAGTCTCGAAGGCTCGACGCTTTAAAGGCTTATTATACTATACGTATAAAGCACGAACCTTCCAAGTATCGAGATTCGTTTAAAATTCACTTTTATACGCTACTTCCTTCGATTAAATCTAATATTTCTACTTCTTCCTCCTTGTTACGTATAGATCTCATTTATCAACTTACACGCGTTAAACTTTCCTTTACGAAGAAATAATGCTCCGTCGGAATTTTTCCTCTAACCGAGTTCAGGATTAATCGTTTTCTTCCACGTCAGATTTTTTCCTAGAGCATAGGATTAGTATTATTCCATTCCAAGCGAATCTACCTATTTTTCTGTAATTCTTGCTTGGATGCGCATCGCACGCGCCGCCGGCGCCGTCTTGTTCGAATGCGGGTTGTCGGATGATCGGGTTTCAGCAACCGTTATCCCCCTGCACTTAACTGTTGATTCTTTTTTCGTGTCCAAAAACGGATTTAACGATTTCACATTATCCTCATTGGCTCTTTGACGTGCTCCCAACTCTGTCGTATTTGCTGCAGCCGGGCAGTTTCGAGGTGGCACGAAAGGGAACGGCACAGTGAAGTGAAATCGACCGATCGAGATCCATTTTTCGGTGAAGGAGGATGGCCGTAAAACGAGGAGCAGCCAGAGAAAGGGATAAGCAAGGAAATGGGATCAGGTCCTCGATCTCGAGAGATCGTATTGTCTGGTCAAATGGCCGCTTGGCGTACTTGAAACTTGCATTATTAGTGAAAGTGTAGGGTATCGTTTGAAAACCGCTCAAGATTGGATCGCCAAGGGTAGACGTTAACTCCATCGCCGTAGCGTCTTTGCTATACTACATATGTACGAGTGTAATAGAATAGCAACCGTGTGTAATACGCTTTAAACAACTCGCAGTTTGAATCGCGCAGTGTCGCATTTCTGGTCGACCGATGTTAAATTAGGTTCGCGTAACGCCAAAACAGTTTCCTATTCATACAACCCTTTTACAAATATAAATCAGACCGTCGTGAAATATTGACTGGAAACCGAATGAAAGAGAATCACGTCCAACATTTCCTTACTATACGCTATGTTACGATACGAACTCGAACAAATAAATCAATGTTACTCTGCCATGGTTTCAGACGTCGGTGTCGGAGATGGAATAAAGGAGCACGGAAACAAACTGGCAGCGACTGGCAATGCCGGTTCTTGTGAAAAAATATTGACCAACTAAGCTGGTTCCTCGAAATTCCACTGACGAGCTGTGAAGAAGAAAAGATACCCACGCTTCCCAAGTACTATTGTAACGGTCCAAGGAAAAAGAAACAAAAGGATCCCATGGTTGACCGATGATCATTTTTCAGACGATCATTACAATAATAATGGATCAGCCTCTTGTTGGAGTCGTCGTGTATTGAAAGACCAGTCAGAAGACGGACAACCGTACCTTCGACGACTCATTGTCAGAGGCGAAAATTGTTAAATCATCAAATTGAATCGAAAGGACGAAAGATCGAAGGAAAACAGGAGAAGATGAGAAAGTAACGTAAGAACGAGTCGTGTTTGACGATGTTTTGTAACGTTTCTTCTAATAACAACCTCTGCTATTTGGAGACTATACACGAGACTTGTTTCATCGTCGACGGATAAGAACGGCACATATAGTATATACCATTATAGTATCGTACATATTATCGAACCAACTAAGAAACGAGAAAATGATGAGTCCGATCGAACGAGTCGTTGTTCTCCTGATGGTTTTCTGGGTTTGCGATATCGCAAAGGGATACAACGTACTACTGGCGACGATGGGTGGCACGAAATCGCACACCGTGCCATTCGTCGCTCTTGGCAGCAGCTTGAAGGCTAAAGGTCACAACGTAACTCTTCTGAGCGCGTTTCCTGGACCTGCTGCGAACAGTGGGCTGCAGGAGTTCGTTCCGCCCATCCTCGAGGTGATTAGTCGTTTTTCAAGGTAGTCCAGTTAGTCTTTGACGAACGGTATCGAACGGTTCCCGAATCAGCAAATTAACATGTATCTCTCTGTTTGTCGCGTGTTTTATACACGTCTATTTATCGGCAGGCTTACGTTGGGAATTACACGTCGGAATGGGACCTGGTAGGTGCGAGATTTCGCGATGAAATGCCTATTTCTCCTTGGGATGCGATGCGATATGCCTGGGAGGCTTGCGAGGCACTTCTCCGAGACGAACTGTCGGTCTCGTGGCTGAAAAAACCTGAGGGCAATCCTCGTGCTCGGTGGGACGTCGCGGTTATAGACGGAGCTTACCCCGAGTGCCTTCTCGGAGTCCTTCACGGGGAAAATGTACCCACGATTATGTTGAATACGGTAATTATTTCGATTTCTAACTTTTTCTTGTACCGTATTATGTAACCGTAAGAGTTCCAATGTAATTTCTTAACCGACTTGATCCTCCGATGAAAGATACCATGGCGAAAAGGAGCACACCGAACCAAGGAATAGGGTTCACCGCAGATATCCCGTAGCGAGAGCATCCGCATTATCGTGTTTCAATTAAATCCCACGCCACGGCTCGAATTATCATTAAACGCGTAACGAACGCGGTTGCTTGTTAAATAATTATTATGAGATTTAACGAGATCAATATTTCGATACAGGTCGCCTTGTACAGCGGTTCGATAGGACGCCAAGGGAATCCGTCACCGTGGTCGATCACTCCCTATTTTGGCAAATCCTTCACGCAGGATATGAACTTTTTCCAACGGATCGTGAACGCTGCTTGCCTGGTCACGCTTAGAATTATGCACTGGATTATGGTCACGGGGTACATTCAACCGATTCTACGAAAATATTTGGGTACGTAATTCGATGAATGATCGACTCACAATCAACGGTCGGTGATCAACAACCTTGTTCGATGATGTTCGTGCCACGTTACAGGAGATCGGTTGCCCGACGTACGAGACCTGACAACAGAGATACCGCTCACTTTACAAAATAGTCACTATAGCGTCTCTGACTCTGTTCCTTATTTATCGAACGTCGTAAACGTCGCGTGCCTTCATTGCAATTCAGCGACGCAACTCAGCCCCGATCTAGAGACGTTCTTGCAACGGGGTGAGTTTACTCTTTTCAGAGTACCCAAGCTCTGTCACAAAAGAACAGAGCTTGGATTCGAGCGTGTCTCTTGGTAACGGATCCACTGATAACGATAACCGAAACGTGTTCGCGTTTGCAGGTTTCATTTTCGTCTCTATGGGTTCGTCGGTTCGCGCGTCAGGGATGCCAGAGGCTCTTCGTCGCATCTTCGTGGCAGCGTTCGCCACGCTCCCTTATAACGTCATATGGAAATGGGAAGCCGGAAAGATCAAAGACCTGCCTTCAAACGTCAGAACGGCGGCGTGGTGGCCGCAGCAAGACCTACTCGGACATCCGAAGCTCCGAGCGTTTGTCTCTCACGGAGGATTGCTGTCTCTTCACGAAGCCGCTTATCACGGTGCTCCGACCCTTGTTCTGCCCGTTTTCTGCGATCACGATGGAAACGCGGCGCAAGCGGGTAAGATCTTTGATTAATCTCGCATCGAAAACTAGCGTAAATTGGACGATCGTTCTCTTTCGCAGAGAAATTAGGCTACGCTCTTGTGATGGACCTAGCCAGTATATCGGTGGGAGATCTTCGCGAAGGCATCCTCAAGGTGGCCGCGGTGCAAAACAATTCATATCGAACTGCAGCGAAAAAGAGAAGCTCTCTACTGCGAGAGTTACCGATCAGTCCCCGAAAATTAGCGACTTGGTGGGTAGAACACGTTATCGAGTACAAAGGTGCCGAACATTTAAAAAGCTCTACAAGGTATGCCAAAATTTTCCGAATTTTCGAAAGCAATGCTCGGGGGGGCGGACAATTTTTGAATTTACTATAAAAAGAAAAATGTTTTAGGCATATGAGCATCATCCAGTATTACTCCATCGATGTGGTGATATTTTACGCGACGATGTTCGCGTTACTAACATATGGACTGAGAAAGTTATGCTGGAGGACGATATCCAAACAAGTTATTATCAGAAAGAAAGTAGACTAAAACGTGTTGGTTTTACAGTGATTCGTGTGAACTTTTTATATATATTTATTGTGATGTATGCATATTATAATCTACATACATATATAAATTGCCCCTTCGAATGTAAGCACATAAAACTGTAAAAACGATGAAATTATAATGAAAGTATCTTTGATGTACAGATTCAAAAAATAATGCATTTGAAATTTTGATATTTTTTCTGAAATGATAATATCCAGGTAACGTACACATTGTACGTCTGTCGGTAAAGTAGACTCTTTGTTGACGGCATTAACTACCGTTCATACGGCAGTTTACAAAACACGTTTATAATTTACGATGTTTACACACAGCAAGCGTGTCTAACGATTATCTAACGATATTAATCAACGGTACGTAAAAGCATCGTACTACATCCGACACATAAAGAAAATGAAAATCGAGGCTTTGCTTGTTTACGGTGCCGATTGCATAATAGACAATTTATTCCTCAAAAAAGTAACGATTGCAATTTCATATAACCTAATTGCATAAAAACGAGCCAATGTAAACAAGAAAAGTGCAGTCTTACAACCTTAGCAAAGTCAAATATAAAAAAAGTGTTTGTCGTTACATACCTCGAAAAAGCCTGGAAAGCAGCGAAGAATTTCAAAAACATGTCTTCCTGTGTTCAAGACAAACTCCTTTCCATAGACCCGCCATGCAACGACAGGATCTGTCACGTCTGCACGCTTGAAATCGATCCACTAAAACTTAACCTATCGGCATCGATCCCGGTCAAAGCAAACATTCGAACAGGTGCCACGATGGATATTTATTTTCGCGAGAAAAACTAGCCGGAGGATCTTCCGATGGAATACGATTTTTAAATTCGATCTCTTTTTATCGAGGCGATAAAAGAAACAATTTACGTAACACGGGAGTAAATCTAATCCGGAACAATAATTCGAAAATAACACGAAAAGTTTATTCTTGAAACCGTAGAGACAATATGATGCGCGCAAACATCGTCCCGTTTCGGCCAGTTTCGGCTACATGCTCTTCCGTCGCCACTTTCACCCAAACCTGTAAAGGTAAGAATCGTGTTGAAAGTACGGTGCTTATACATGGAATAGAATCGATGAAAGCCGATGGGCTATTGTAAATCGTTCTTCGTAACAAAGAGTATTAGATACTCCAATACTGTTTGGTTCGTAAGTCGAGGAAGGGGTCTTCGAGCGTGGCCAGTTACGGTCCTGGCGTTAGTTGAGGACTGCGGTCGAACGGCGGCGCATGGGTCGGATTCCCGTCAAGACACGAGGCTTTGCACGTTTTCACGACGCTTCGACTGTCTACGTCCGTGACCCGTGGCCAAGTCAGCACTTGATCATGATCCGATCAGTACCAGCTGACTTGTTCGTCAGGATGTCGGTGTGTGTTTTGTTGTGGTCGCGTTTCTGAGAAGACTCGTCCGTATTTCTCTCGGTAGTGTATAAATCGTAAATAGATAACGTGCGCAGCCGATACGCGGCACCGAGGTGAACGCAAGCGACACGCGAAGGTGAAGCATAAATGCGCTATGCGCGATGGAATGTGCAGTAGTGGTGAGAGTTGTGATGGTGTTTTGAAAGGACACGTTTATCCACGTGGAACGTGGTCCCAGTTTTCGTCGTGACTCGTGACTCGACGAGACTAGCAGTCGAACGCAAACTAAAGAAAAGAGGAAGAAAGAAAGAAACGAAGGAAGGAAGGAAGGAAGGAAGAGGTAGACGATACAGGAGAGGACACTTGAGCCGACGGCGGAGCGTGGAGACAGAGAGAGAAAAAGAAAGAGCGACGGAATGGGAACGAGGGAGACGGAAAAGGCGACGAGCGAAGAGAGAGGGAAAAAAGATAGAATAAAGACGCCGAGCGACTCTTGTTTGATCGCGAAAACACGTGGGGAACGACGCGGGAGAGGGTTTTCCTTGTAAACCAAGTTTTCTCGACCGATAATGGGAGGACATGGCAGAGAATACCCGTGTCTTGACGATCGATCGTTCCCCAGCATGACGAAGGTGCACGAGAAACGTTGGAAAACGGCATCCTATCGCACGAATACGCGCAAACGGTAAACGATGCTGCGCATACGAGCGTATAAAGTTTCATATGGTGGCGGTAGTGCGTGTGTTTGTTTCTCACGGCATAGCCCGTCGGCCGTCGGTGACCGGAAAACAAACGGCCGAGGTCGAGGACGAAGTCCCTGATGTAAAACGTGTTGCGATCAATGCAATAAACAAACGCCCTGGCAGGAACGTGTCTGACACGACGCTTTTACCCTCTTGCTGCCTCTGGCGCGTGACGTAATCCATTCAAGCGCTTACTACGCAATACGGGACGCGGGCAGCTAGCTCTCTTTGTCTCTTGTGTTCTCGCTCACGCTCACGCTCTCGCTCTTTTCTCCCTCCTTCTCGATCCAACCCTTCTTTTTCTTGCCTCTCGATAATGGCGACGCAAGAAACTCTTTCGTCGTCGTTGTCGTTGTCGTTGCTGTTGCCGTGCATTGCGCAATTATAGTTGTCTCTAGCGTTTCTTGTTGCTCTTACGAAACCCGTGTTCGTCTTTTGTTTCTTGCACGTGTCTTCCCTTTTCTCGTTCTGTTTTTCTCCGAGCTGTCAACGCTGTCTATCCTTTCGGTATACATATCGAGAAATGCTCTGATTGCTCGAGATCGCACGAAATTTCACGCGTGACCACCCTTTCTCTTTTACCCTTCCTCTCCGTCGCGTCGCTCGAGTTTTCTTACCATTCGCGTCAATTACAAGTTTCTCGCCACCGAATGTCTAGTATCGCCGCGTTACACGTTACACGTCTCGAAACGTGTCGCCCGTGTAAATATCGTGGGTCGTGTATGAAAAGATACTCTCGAGGCGCGCGAACAGGTACATTGCTAGCTCGAGTTGCGTGTAGCGGACATGTGGCGGCTCGTCTTGTTTCTCGTTGACCCGTCGTTTCTCCGCGTAACGAAAAATTCGCCAATGTTCCTCGAAACGCGTTACGATAAACGTATACCGTCGGTTTTCCCGGAAACTAGGATTCCATCGCATCGCGCGTATCTAACAACCTGTTCGAAGCTGACGTACAAGGTAAATAAACGACGCGTGGTCCGCTCATAGGCAATAACACGTCGGGGATTCTTTCCTTTTTTCATGTATTTACGGCATTAACTGCGCGTCGGAACAACGCGAATCATCGTGTCCGCCGAACACGCGTTGGAGCGCGCGCGCTCGTAAACTCTTTGTCCTAAATAATCCCTCGAGCGAAGTTGAGGAAAAGGACGGAATTTCGTGCGCGTCGGGAGACCACGAGTTGCTTGCTTGCTTGCTTGCTTGCTTGCTTGCTTGCTTGCTTGCTTGCGTATCTTGTGAAATGCCCGGGCTGTGAAGCCTTGAAAACGTTCCGGCTAAGCGACGGAGAAAAACAGAATTAGTGTGTTGCGTGTTTTGTAATCGTCGGCTATGACCACATCGACCATACCGAGTCTGGCCTCGTGATCTATAACGTTTTTCGTTTTCTTTGCTTGTTTCATTTACGCAGTGATTTTGGACTATCGGCATGCCGAGTAATGTGGGACACGGCAGTGGTGCTCGAGTAGTGATTGTGTTATCGACGTGTCATCATCGCGGCTCGAATCCACTTCGCAGGTTGGAATGTACTACGTACCTATGAGACACGTAAGTATTTGCGCGTCAAAGTTTGAACACGTTCTAGAACCGATTTCAAACGCGCTTACTGCGATAATTGCGCGCAATAAGCAACCGTGCTTTTAAAATTCCATAGGTCGACGGATATGTGTGTACAGATAAAGTTAATATCGCGTCAGGAAATTTCTTGAAAAAGCCAATTAGTTATCACTTTAGCGTAAACTTTGCAAACTCGCGAAATATACGGTGCAAAAATAGTCGAATTAGTGGACGATTATTTTGTCGAAAATAGCGCGTAAACGACGCAGGAGAATATTATGGGTTGTTTCGAATTATTTCATCATACTTTAAACAGTATAATATACAATCTGTACAACGTATGAAGCTAAAGTTAACGCCGCATGTATTAGGCTAGCGATAATAATAAACGAGCGGAATATCACGATACGAACAATACCGGTATTCGCCTCAATAAAAAAGAAAGTTTGTTAAGTTTTGCTTGTGCAATGCCACGAGTTTGACGATTCGTCTAGAATACGTTACAGTTTCACAATATTCCCCTTGTGTTTTACAATTTACATAGTTATTGTTGGCTCGGCTAGAAGAATGTTGTTTCGTGCCTACGCGAAAAATATACATATCTTCTATCGCATGCTAGCAAGGAAATGTTCGGCGTTGACTTTGTAACGCTTCTTTTGCGTATCGCTTCAACTATGTTTTGTCTACTTTGCTACCGACAGAATTCTCGCTCGCGGAGAGGAATTCACGCATAGCCGTGATGCTATCTGCCACGTGCGTAGAAACATTGCCGTGACATTTGATTACTAGGAAGCGATTGAACGCAAATAATTACCTCGTTCTAATGCAACGTGTTCTCTCTCTCTCCCTCTCTCTCTCTCTATATATATATATCCTCGATATCAAGAAAAAATTGACATCAATTTTTGGTTACTCGAACACGAAAGCTGTAGGCTGTGCGATGATTCGTTAATTTTATCCATGCGTTATTATTAATATAGACGCTGAAATTGGCACAAATGATATCGCGAATGATGTTCGTTGCATCGTGCTTGTATCGATACAATACAGTAATACGTCGATTATCCAAACTACCGATTATCGGAAAAGGAAACCAACGCGTTCTCTCTGTAGGAACGCCAACACTGTTTACGCTTTGGAACCTGGATCTGTTATACGTAAACAATTTTATTAACCACTGCGATACGTTATGCCTATGAATCAAGTGCCCCAGTTTCGCGTCTCGCAAATATTAGACCTAAGCGTCAAGTTAGATTACGCAGAATATAGTATAAGCAGAAAGCGAGAGGCCATGTCGCAGGCTTCGAGAGAAAAGCGTGAAAATTTCGGCGAACGTAAACGTTTGGAAAAACGTTGCGTAACCGAAATAAAAAGAGGTGACTCGCCCATTTGGCAAACGTCGTGTCGCATATTCGGGGCAGCTTTTTGCCGTCGTGTATTTCGGATAGCAAATAGGGAAAAAAGCCGGGTACGCGGCAATTGGCTCTCTTCGTCGTTACACTCGATCGCCATCATTATCTTGGTTGAACGTAATCGATTGCGGTCTAAAAATATAACGTTGTCGCGAACACACTGGAAGCAACAGTCACGAGTCTAGCATCCCGGAATGCGATAACGATCGCGAGAAACTTAGGCATGATCCCGAAACGGAAGTAATAAAGCTTCCGGGGCTTTTCTAGTCGCGTTCCGCCACTGTTATGATCCTCATTGGTTATCGCGTGGTCTACCTGTAGCGTGCTCACGGAAGATGATTTTGTTAAGGTGGACTCGCACTATCTAGCCCGATGAAACGTTCTCCGATAGGTTTCGCAACGACTTTCATACGCACTGTTAATTAAGGTTCGTTTTTACGCACGTGTCTCCTTATCGTTTTCTTTCCTTATAGATGTGAACGATTCGTTTGAAATTGTTAAGACTCGATCGGAACCGTTCGTTTATCGAGCGTGCGTTATAATCGCAAAGATGCGACTTATGTAACTGTACAAAGTCGTGACTTGGAAAAATGTTTTAGCAGACAGTGTGAATCCGCCTTTGGGCGGACTATGTAAAACGACTCTGTCGGTAAAATGATCGGGATCTCGAATGAAGACAATAGGCGCGAAATCTAGCATCTTTCGACTAATGGCAACTATGGCATAGCAGGTTGCCGCGTTTATGTAACGCGAGCCGATTTGTAAAAATCAGCCCACCGCTTGTAGACCGCGTAACGGATACCTTGCCGCGATAACCTTATCGCGAATGCAACGATGCTGTTTTTCCAGTTTCGCTTTACTTTTTTTGCCACGACTTATCACGGATTATCACGGTAGCGGAAGTATGAAAGAGTTCCGTAATCATTGGACGCTTCTAATTGTAAGTCGTGTTCTACCGAGGATTCAACATCGCTAAAGAAATGTACATTTGACCGCTCTAGAAATGTTAACCGATTGTGAGGAAATATTTCGTGTCGATGGAAGATAAGGATTCCTTGACGCGCGTCGCGAATTATATGTATACCTCCTTCGGGTGTCAGGTATGAATCCCTACTTTTACATTATGGCAACTTGCCATATGGCGGGATGGTAGATCCTCGGTGGTCTTCGGGGTCCAATCGATTTTCTTCCTACTGTAGTACTTTATACATCGGGGAGTATTAATTCGTTTCCAATTCAGGGGAAAGACACTAGTGTTCGCGCGAAGGAGAAGCGGAAGCAAAAGGATCTCTGACGAAGAGCCATCGTTGGTGATTTTCCTGTGGAGCAGAGACAAATGAATGTTTCACGGTATACCATCGACCACGATGATTCTTGCTGGTCGAAAAGAACGACCATCAACCCCGGTACCAATCGAAAAGCCTTATCTTTCGGGCAGGTGTCGCGATTGGTGCTGGAACTGGTGACTTTCTCTTTAGATTGCAAGAATCTTGTAGTCGACCTTACATAGTTGCAGTTTGTTGCTGCCTCGTTATGAAACGTTTGCCTTTCCACGAGTTCGAATCGATTGGGTATCGTTATTTGCGAGGCTGTCGACGACATTCGTTAGCTTTGAAAATGTACATATACATACATGATTGCGTCGCGATAAACAGGTTAAGTCGTCGGGGTGTCTTGGAGCAGCGTCCTCGACACTTGAAAATAGATCGCATCGATCGATTTGCGGGGATCGAGTTGCCCGCGCCACGCTTGCAGACCAAGAAGATTTCGTAACGATTTGTATCGACGAGAGGGAGGGATGCTCGAATCGGACATCCGGCCTCTTCATTGGGCCTTCGGATACGAGTAATTTTCAAAGTCATTAACCCCTCACGCGAGCATTTAACTGGCCTCCTATTGTGCGCTGGATGATCACTCAAATCAGCATTCCGGTTATGTAGATGCACCTCGTATTCGAAATCTTTGTGCGGGGCCACCTTTGGAGCAGGGCTGCTCGGTTCGTTACTCGTGGCATGTTTGTCGTGAAAATTGCTTGGTTCGATGCCTCGTGGACTCGAAGCTTCGAAATCGTTTATCGCGGGGATCGGCAACTTTGTTCCCAAAGAACTTGGAATAGTAAAAGTTTGAGTCGGAACATTCTTTGCAAATGTGAGACCAAAAGCGAACGCAAGGATGTATAACAGTGGATCATTTCTCAAAGCATGAAGTATATTATATTTATATGCGTACGCAACATGGCTTACGAGACCGAAAACGGACCAATGTCGATGGCAGGGAAATCTCATTTGCGTTATTGTGACACGAGCCCGCACGCACGAGGAGAGGCAAACGACAGAGCCGAAAATTGCATCATTGCGTCAGCCCGCGTCGATCGCTTGCATCACGTGCCTTATTTGCTATTCCTCAAAGGGCTAAGGAAGAACGAAAATTGAACGAGAAACGACGCGCGTGAAAAACAGTGAACTCGTGTCTCTCGAGTAACACGTGGCGATCGTGTGGTAGATCGGTAGACAATCGGGTCGTTTAAATCCATTTTTTTTTTTAACACTGATACAAATCTTGATTTTTATTGCTTCCGATGTTCACTTTAGAGAGATACGCACGCTGTAATTTCAAACATTCGTACGATAACAAATTATCGCACGTATCGTACGGTCACGTTAAGCTATAATTACGAGTAAACCAATTACATACGTTGTTACGTGGCAAGTATTTCTGTTACGCGGTGGTAGTCACCGGTACGTCGTGGGTTACGTGGCCATAGTCGAGCATTTTTCTCGCTAGAAGAATGATATCGACCGTGACTTAGCTTACTTTTATGCTAGATCGTTCGATTCCAACTGTATCACTTGTGCGGAATTTTGATTTACGTTTGAAATCATATACTCAAGTGTACAACGCGGTGAATTACTTTATATACGGAAATCATTTGCAAGAACGAATATCAACACCTCGCCTCGAAATGGGTTCTCGGGCTGGAAAGTTTCGGCACGAGGTTACAACGTCATGTCCATCTAATTATGGTCCGCTTAACATAACGCGTCGCTCGTGAGTCAACTGTTGACTACGTTCCTTCAAACGTTTTGCTAACCTCGATGGTTCGGTCTTTGCTTCGGCCGAGTACCATTTCCTCCACCTTCAACGACAATGGAAAGTCGTTGAATGACAAATCGGTGCCGCTGCGACTACGCGTCACGAATGTCACGGATTCGTAAATATTCTTTATCGTGTTGCGTCGATACGAGACCGGAAATGTGTTACGTGCGAACACGATGATGCGCGCTTATACGAGCGCATTTTCCTCGCTACACGTACATATAATACGTACGTACTTATACTTGGTGCGTGGAATGTGTGTTGCGTTAAAACCAAATTTTGTTCCTTTGAAAAGTTCGAGCTCGCTACCTCGCATAGCGAATTCCTATCTAGATTCCTATCTAGAAAACAATTCGAATGACGAACGAGAAATAAACAGTTCTCGAGCTGTTATTTGCTCAAGAAAAGCAACGATTTAAACCGTACGATTTTTATATTTCACGTTGAACAAATTCGAGTAAAAATAAAGCAAACATTCCGTATAAATTACTACGCAGGACTCTTAGTCGCTTATCGCTGATTTTCTTGCGAATGATAAGTATTGAAAACCAGACATTTCTAATCACAGTGAGGGGAACAGAGTTGCGTGACCAGTTGATTTCTTTCAGAATGCACGACTAAGCGTAAGTTGCAGACCGTTAGGTGAAATAATGTTACTAATAGATACAATCTTTCAGGTGAACACAGGTATAGGGTGTACGGTGCCCGTAACTCACCGGATTCCAGCGAGTAGCATATTATTTTCTATAAACAAATAGGTACTCGAGCACCGTTGCGCGCCGAGTTGTCTCTCTTCACTAATTAACTTGTAATATCGTGGAGGCAATCGATCGATGTTACCTTTTTACGCGGGGCACGCGAATCGAACTGTCACGATTAGGAAGAGAATCGGGTTGAATTATTCTCGTACAGTTTGCTCACTTTATCTTAAATCCCCTGCTCGGATTATTATTCTAGGTCGATAAAGGAGACTCGATTCTCTGCTTTGTTTCTCTTGTTTCCTGGACAAGATTTGCACACTTTACCGAACGAACCCTAGAACCGAAGTTTCTTCGAGGGGCAGACCATTCGAAACGCTTCTTTTGAAGTAAACAAACTACCCACGTTGCGTTGCTCGTGCATCGTCTGGAATTTCTGGAGGGAGTGGGCGATAAGAAACAAGGGCTCGGGCACGAGCCAATCTGTCGTTTATCAGCTCGTTATCGGTGTCGCGTCAAGTTATGAATGGGCGGAATCGTGTCAGTTTGGCCGGCTGATTTTACATCTTCTCCTGTGCGAGCGAGTTTTTCAGAAAAATTCAAAGCTCGTTGAACGATACCGTTCCGCAAATTCTATGCCGATATAAAGTTATCGATTCAACCAAGTTCGTTTTCGACTCGAACGTTGTTTGCATTACCGAAAAACGTTTTTCATTCGATCGTTTCATTGGGTTAATTTTGTTTGTTTTCGAGTCAATTAATAAACGAAACAACGAGCGAGAAATATTCGTTTTCCCGATATACCACCATCTCCGTCTGTTCGTTATTTCTTCTCGTTGAAATCCACCGAGTACCCTTGATTATCGAGCCCTAACGGAGAGAACGAAGCGAGCCATTCCACGTGACATATTTATCGTGATTTTATTTTTCCTTTATCGAGGGTTCGTTAATCGTTCCCGAATAAATGTAGAAAATAAAACAACCTTTCGCGTACCTTTTTCTGCCGAATGAAAAGACACGTTTAAATCTTTTAAAAAGCGGTAAGAAATCAGTATCCATAAATCGAGTCAAAACGTATGGCTAATGTTCCATCGAAGCAATGAATTTCGTGCCTTTTCTTGCTGTGGAAAAATATTGCTGAGCTGTATCGCGATTTCAGATTTAATATATACATATACGTAATATATATTTGTGGTGAATATCAGCGAGACCCGAAACCCTTAGGGTTCGCGCAAAAACTTGTTTGCTGCCGCTGGTGCAACGTAATTATACTTGTCACATAAAGATAAATGAACCATAAAACGACTGCAACTATCTGCATGCGTTTCGCTGTTTAATCAAGTTTGAGAAAATAATTTGTTCTTTCGTCATATTTTTCCCCTTGAGCTGTTCAACTTTTGCCTTGGACAATTTTTCGCATTCCGAAAAACGCCAGAGATATGAAACGTGTTTCGAAGTCAAACGAGAGACACTTTTCGTTGTAGGATTTATCAGAGCGTGAGCAACTCGAACTTTTAATTGGTAGACAAATAAGTTCGACTTTGTACGAATTTGTATCTCCAAGTAGAAAGTAAACATAGTCACGAGTAATCTTTCTGGTAAACACTTTTCAAGAGTTTAACGATTCGCGATCAACGGAAGGTCGATCATCCAACGACCGTTACCAATCATTGCTCGACCACGTCGAATCACCAACTTCTCTCTCGAACTCTTTCATTCATAAAACTTGTGCTCTAACGCTCACCCTTCCCACGTGCGCGCAGCGCAATCTTTAGACCTTTTCCGCGGGTATCTCTAACCTTTTAATCAGAAGATTCTAGAAGCCACTTTCCTCGATCGTTATCCGGATATTTATACGACGAATTAAGATGTCCGAGTGGAACGGCGTCAGTCGGCAAACGACGTAATTAGTTGGACGAAATGGAAAGATCGTCCTTGATCTATTAAGCAATGTCCACAGGCTGGTTTTCGAAGCGATCGCCGTCGCTGAATGCGAATGTTGTCGGAACTCATTCGTGAGCGTCGAGACTCGTTTAAAAACAAGGAAATCGATTTCCTCGATTACCGAACGTTTACCTATATACATATAATGGAACATCGAAGAAACGTTCGTAAAGAACAAGTATAATTTCAATTAAAATTGTATCGAAAAGTAAGCAGAACTTGCCTTGTCACGCATTGGCCTCGCAGACTAGGCGCGATCTTTTCGTTTAAGATTACTAAACGTCGTATCCGACATCCGTTTCACCCGATATTTAATCAACTCGAACTCCGAATCCATGTAATGAGAAAAGAAGAACGTGTTTGCATAAACTTGACCAATAAAGGTTGTTATTTCAAATATCGTCGAGTTCATTTATAGATAGAAATAGGGTCACCCCTGTACATCGTACGGAATCGAGGATAGAGCTACGTAGCGAGAGAGATGTTGAAAAACGAAAGATCTGGGACTAGTGTGTAGGTTGTTAAGTAGGTTAACTTTGTATGCGTTCCGTTTGCAAGTATACGCGTCCGAGTAGACATCGAAAAAAGAAATATAAGAAACAACATGGCGATTTAAGCGATTTGAGCGAGTCTTTTGGGATTCCGATGGTTCCTGCACGCATTCTAAGACAAAACGTATCGCGCTATCTATAAATGGGACGGTGGAATTTAATGGGTTAAGTGGTCAGTTAGTTCCATGTCTCTGACGACGGCTACGATGATCGCGCGGAGATTTATTGTTAAAGAATGTTACCAATCTGCCTGTAACGTTGCCACGTGTGGCGTTGGATTGATTGCAGGTGACTGCATCTCAACGATGAAACCATGAGGGCCAGGAAGTTCTTCATCTTCGACAGAAAGCTCTTCTGAACGAAGTCGCGATGTGATCATCGGTGCCTTGAGCTTTCTAAAAAGACTTTGCTAGAAAGCAAATTGGTTCGCGGGTGTACGGGATTCTCGTAACCCGGGAATCCCTCGACGCGAATCTTTCCAAGATCCGAGGTGTCGTTCGAATTTCGGATCAACACCCGGCGTTCGGAAACGCGATTTGATTCCCGTAAGAAGCGATCGAAGATCATCGTGGTCTATGCGAGATGAGGAAGGGAGCATGAAACGTAAAGGTTTGTAACGAGGTCGACGAGGAGCCATTAACCAAGCAGCTGCAACAGTTGATCGTTCTTGATCGTTCGCGCCAAGTAGAAAGTTGAAATCTTTGCGAAGAATCGGCGAGCTTGAGAAAACAGAGTCCCGATTCTTGGCGAGATTGTTTCAACGGGAAGTAGAGGAGTAGAGCCGATAAATCGTTGAACGAGAGGAACGACGGCGACTGCGTTGCCGATCATCGAGTCGGTAATCGAGCCACTCGAGATTCGTAATAGTCTCCTTTGCACGTACAAACAGCCGCGACGACAACGATCGATTGTCGACCGATTAATTGGGAGAAGTGTGCGGAGGTGGAAGAATCAGAGGGTGGGATAATTTAGGAAGGTTTGACGATAGCCTCGTCAATAGTACAGTGTCGATGAGACAAGGAGATGAGGATGAGGTGGTGGTCGCTGCTGATCGTATTCCTCTGCGTCGCGGCGCGCCTGGCGTGCTGCCAGGAGAAGAGGTGGTCGAAGATGACAGGGAATTATCGCGAGAGAACCGCTAAGGACAAATACGACCTCGATTACGCGGACAGAGAGAACGGCGATCTACGCGAGCAAGGTTACCGCGAACAAGACTCGATCGACATTGCCGACGATTCCGAGTTTTACAATCAAATCGTTTCTCACAGGAGCAACAGGGCGATCGATGCTTCCAGGTATTGTGGTATAATTAATCGTATCGATAATGACTCGGTTCCCAAAGAGTAGGTTATATACATATCGTAGATAAGAATCGAATCGTATTGTATAAAATTATCGGAAAGAGGCTCTTAAAAAATGAATACTTGACGAGATCTGGCAAACTTGTCAACCTTTTATACGAGGAAATGTTGAAACAAGTTTTTGTTCTGTATCATCCCCCGATGCTTTTCATTGGGGAATATCTCGTCAAGTAATCAGTACACTGTGCACTGGATACGGTGAAGGCCTTGGAGCGTCCGGCGAAATATGCTTAACAAACGTAACTACGGGATTTCCGCGGTCAGCGCGTGCGAAGCCGTTGAATCTTGGCACCGATAAGGTCAAGAAAATGGTAACACGAGAGAAGGATAAACTAAACTTGGACCTTCCTCGGTAATAGCTGATACCATCAATTTCTACGGGCATTGTTCGGCCCTAAAATGTTAGAAAATAAATTCGTTGCCAAAGTAAACACGAAAAAATTGATTAATTGTCGCGACAGATCAACGGATGTCAAGACGAAATTGAACCAGCAACCCGGCCAACTGTCGAATCTCTCCAAACCGATCGCGAAGTCAACGAGCGTAGCCCGTGAGAAGCAAAAATTAAAGTTGAAATCCATGATGATCGGAGACGGTATCTGTCACAGCTTAGATATTAGAAATAGCGTGGCGTACTTCGCGATCATGAAGAACTGCCGCGTGATAGAGGGTTTCCTGCAGATCGTCCTGATCGAGGACAGCACCGAGGCTGATTTTCAGAACATACATTTTCCCGAACTAAGGGAGATCACCGGCTACCTATTGCTGTACCGCGTAAACGGCCTAAAGAGTCTCGTCCACTTGTTCCCGAATCTCGAGGTGATCAGAGGAAACGTCCTGCTCACCGATTACGCGTTCATGTTGTACGAGATGCAGAATCTGCAAGAGGTAAGTCCGTCCGATGATGTATCGACAACGAATTTCCATGGCGGCCGGCTATAAAGGTAAACGCGGATTAAAAGTTCTGTTTGCGGAGCAAATATTTGATCGAGCCGAGTATCAAACCTCTCTTAAACGAAACAATATATCTGACACGGTGCGTCGCTTCGTCGACCCGTGATTCACTTCTGTTGGCGCGCCCAACGTGTTGGTTCACAAAATAAATGGTGGATCAACATTCGCTTATAGCAGCAAATATTGCCGTAACATTTTTGCGGGAGTATTGTTTCTTTGGTTATCAACCGCGATTCGTTCGCGTTAGCAGACCGGTTGCAAAAGGTTTTGGTGAAAAAGAGTAAAGATTGCCGGTGGGGATCGATCGTTATAATGGGCCGACGCGACGCGACGCGTTACTTGATTTGCGTCACGAAACGTTCATTTCACCGATCATTCCCACGGCGAGCAAGCCGAGACGAGAACTGGCTTCGATACTCCGTTCTAATTTGCTCGGCGTAGCCAGTTAACCCCGCGGGTCAAGTGACGTTAATTAGTCAATCGAATTAACCGGCCGTTCGACCTCTGGCTGCCAATATTGCGCTTGAATCATGGTTACGAATTCTTTTTGCAGATTGGACTGAAGAAGCTCACGGAAATCTCCAGAGGCAGCGTTCGCATCGAAAAGAATCCAGCTCTGTGCTATACCGATACCATCAATTGGACAGTCATCGTTTCGGCGGGCGAGAATGTTATCAAGGACAACGGGGAAGAAGTTTCTTGTCCTGGTATGGTTCCTCTTTTGTCGTATTTTTTGTTGATATTTTAAAAAAAACATTTAAAAAACGGCCAACTCTGCGATCAACATTGGACCTTTTGAACGATTCTTTCGTTTTTTTTTTTTTTTTTTTTTTTTGAAAACTCACAATTTCGAAGATTTCGACCCCGAGAATGTGCATAACGTAGTTCCAAGTTCGATCATCCGTTTTTTGGTTTCAGGATGTTCTCATTGTCCAGAGGGTTTCTGCTGGACTGCCCATCACTGTCAAAGGATAGAAATGCCAAAGTGTCACGATCAGTGTCTCGGGGAGTGTCACGGACCTTCGGAGAACGAATGCTTCGTTTGCAAACACTATCGGCACGAAGGGAGATGCGTCGACAAGTGTCCTAGTCATCTGTGAGTGATATCGCCAGACCCAAACTCTTTCGAGTCTGGCATCATTGTTGCGAGTAAAACCACAATCTTATCCGCAGAAACGCCTATCTTTCGAGACGCTGCGTCACGAAGGACGAGTGCGTACAAATTAATCGTTTGAGAAGGTTACACCTCCTGGAGGAGGGACAATTTTGGCGACCGTTCAATGGAACCTGTATGATTCAGTGTCCCGAGGGATACGAGGACGCACTCGACGCGGAAAATGTATGTAAATTTAAATCGATCGATTAGCTATTCGAAAGTTGTTTTGCATGCGTTAACGTGGAATTATTTTTCGATCAACATTTCGAATCCCGCGGCAATACAAATTTTCACACGGTTACAGAAAACCACGTGTCGACTTTGCGAAAATCACTGCCGGAAGGTCGGCCACGGTGCTCTGATACGGCACATCTCGGACGCTCAAAGCTTCCGTGGCATAACCGTGGTGAAAGGTGCTCTGGAGTTCCAGATTCGAAACGGAAACCCAAACATAATGAACGAACTGACCGAAGCATTCGGCCTAATCGAAGAAATCACCGACTATTTGAAAGTCACTCACTCGTTTCCCATCACGTCGTTAAGTTTTTTAAAAAAGCTCAGGATCATCAAGGGTGAAAACGTCGATACGAACAATGCGAGCTTGGCTATTCTCGATAATCCAAATCTGTCGAATCTGTTCCCGCCGGAGCAGAAGATCGAAATCGAGAGAGGCAAATTGTTCTTTCACTACAATCCAAAGTTGTGCCTCTCCAAGATCATACAGTTGAGCAAAATGGTGAACCTGAACTTCTCGGATCTGGAAGTGCAACCGGAATCGAACGGTGAGAAGGTAGCGTGCAACATCGTCAACATAAACATCACTGTGAAATATCTTGGAGCGGATTACGCGGACTTGGTCTGGGACAGTTACAAACCACCAGAGGGCCAGCAGCTGCTCAGCTATCTGTTGAACTATGTCGAAACGGAGAACGAAAATATCAGCTACGAGGCAAACGCCTGCGGCGGTAACAACACCTGGCAAATAGTCGACGTCGATATTCCAAAGCGAAGCTCCACCGTTTCTAAACACATCATGAATTTAAAGCCGTACACCAGGTACGGAGTCTACGTGAAGACCTTCATGGCCAGGAGCACAGGCTCCTTCGTAAACCCCGTGGGTCAATCAGAAATTATTTTCTTTCGAACGAAAAGCGCCATACCATCGCCTCCGATAAACGTGATATCGATTCCGCTAAGCGACACCGAGATATTAGTCAAGTGGCAACCTCCGATATACCCCAACGGCCCGATAGGATATTACATGGTCTCCAGAACCATAATACCCGAAGAGGAAGATTTGATATCCTCGCGGGATTACTGCAACGACACGTTGGAGAACGAGTTCGAGATCGAACGGGTAGTGCCGCAAGTAACTATTAAAACGCCGGTTTTGAACGCTGCCTCTTGTTGTGCGAAAAACGCGAGGGCCAACTTGTTCACGTCGAACAAATTCGAGATATTCTGTCATCAAAATACAACCATCAGCTATATATCGCCTGGTTGGAAGGACCATTGCGTCTACAATAGCTACAATTCCATGGACAAGTTTTACGAGCTGGCAAACAATCTGTCATCCTCTTCTCAACCGGGGGACACATCTGAAACCGACAACTCCAAGTCGCTTGCAAACTTCGGAGACGAAGTCATCCTTGCTTACAACGTGAGCAACCGAAACAATTCGTTCGTGATCAAGAACTTGCGTCACTATTCGCGATATATCGTCAACGTGGCCGCGTGTGGTATAAAGATAGACGACACGCAAATGTGTTCGTCGATAGAGTACGCGAGCACCAGAACGAAGAAACGAGAGCACGCGGACGATGTCTGCAACGTGAAAGTTCGCGTAACGAATAACACCATAGTCGAAGTAACGTGGGACTTGGTGAAGAATCCTAACGCGCTCACGGTTTCGTACACTATAGAGTACACAAACTTGGAGGTGAGGGATGCGAAGAAAAGCACAGAGTGCATACCGCACACGGGTCGCCGCGAAAAGTTCAACAACTATTTCATCAAGAACTTGAGTCCAGGCAAGTACAGTTTACGGATGCGTTCGACGTCGTTAGCTGGAGACGGTGCCTTCTCGGATCTGGTTTACTTCACCTTAGGCGGCTCGAATACCGCTCCCATCACTTTGATCTCCGTGTTGACTCTCGGCGTTCTCTCCGTAATCTTGGTTGTGATGTTCCTATTCTTGAGGAACGAGCACAAGAAGAAGAAGCAAGAAAGACTGATAGCCAACGTAAATCCGGATTATATAGAGACCAAGTATGTGATCGACGAGTGGGAAGTGCCCAGAGAGAACGTCGAGATTCTGGAGGAACTCGGTCTGGGTAACTTCGGTATGGTGTATCGCGGATACTTTGACAAGACCACACCCGTGGCTATAAAGACCATCTCAAAGACGGCTAGTCAGCGAGAAAAGAACGAGTTTCTGAACGAGGCATCGGTAATGAAAAACTTTTCGACTTATCACATCATCAAGCTTCTAGGGGTCGTGTCCGTAGAGAATCCTCCGTTCGTAATCATGGAGTTGATGGAGAACGGAGATTTAAAGACGTATCTGCGTCGCATTCGTGACACTCATCTTGTACCAGACTCGTGTAGGATAATGAGAATGGCGGCGGAGATCGCGGATGGCATGGCCTACTTGGAGTCGAAGAAGTATGTTCATCGAGACTTAGCCGCGAGGAACTGTATGATTTCGAAGAATCTCGTCTGCAAGATCGGTGACTTTGGCATGGCAAGGGACATTTACGAGACCGACTACTACAAAATAGGTAGAAAAGGACTTTTGCCTATAAGGTGGATGGCACCCGAGAATCTCTCGGACGGTGTGTTTACTTCCGACTCGGATGTCTGGTCCTTCGGCGTGGTTCTCTACGAAATTCTGACTCTCGCCGAGATGCCTTATCAAGGCTTGTCGAACGAGGAAGTACTCACTCACGTACTGCACAAAGGGACTCTGAATATACCGCGCAGTTATCCTGGAAATATCCAAAAAATCATGGAGAAGTGTTTCAAATGGCGGCCCAGTGATCGTCCCACGTTCATGGAGATCGTGGCCGAGTTGGAGCCGTTTCTGAGCCAAGACTTTTGCGAGAAATCGTTCTATCACTCCGTGGAGGGTGTGGAAAGTCGCAACTCGGGTATTAAGAAGCCGTATCATCCCGCCGCGCCTATTAGATTCCATTGGGGGAACGAGACTGCCAGGTGGGTAAAGGAGTTCGAGGACAACGTGACGCTTCTCGATCAAACGAAAGCTGGCACCAGTAGAGGTCGTATCTTCAAAAATGGTTTCCAACATTTTGGTAATGTATCTAATCTGGAGAACGTACCTCTCGATCGATGAGATCGGTCACCGCGTACCTAATTCCTGGCGTGTGTTCTACGAGACCTTCACAGTCACAAACTTGTAGATACAATGTACAAACGATACTCAGGGCAATATCGCGATTGAACCAACGAGTACCAGATGGACGATGGAACACACGAACGCGGCTTATTTGACGTGTTCCATCGTCGTTGGCGCGACGTCCGCGAATCGTCTCTCGGAGCTCGTCGACGAATAGAACTTTGATGCTGACGAGCCACTAAACAGATTTTATCGTTTCTTGTATCCGAGCGTATACGTTCCACTCGAATTATTCGCGAGCCTAACCAAAAGCGTTTGCGTGTCGCGCGTTGTGCGACGCGACGGACCATTCAGACGCAAAGAGTGTTTCCTAAAGCGCAACCAAAAGCTCTTAAGCTCTTCAGCCATGCAAGTCTACGAACCGTTCATTCCTTGGAAGGGTAACTTTTACCATTATCCTTTCGTGTGGATATACTTATCTAGAGTAACCATTCTCGGACCGTAGAGCCACGCGTTTAATAGCTGTACCCTCCTATCGCGCAAAGAACTGATTAATTATAACGAAATTGCGTCGTCGTAGAATCGTTTGCTACGTTGTGCAACCATATAGAATCAATTCTTTATTATTCGATGATCGTTGAACGTAGAAACGTAGAAAACGTTGGTTGTGGATAAACGAACGCGTTTGTGGATAACTTCTTTTTTGTTTGTTTCTTCTTCTTCTTTTTTTTTTTTGTCTGTTAAGTTCGTACTTAGGCGCTGTCCACAACGCCAAGTTCGATACTTTGAGTTATTTCTTTTACAAGTGACGTATATTATCGAATATTTAATTATTTAACTAAGGTACGGGGAACGTAAGAAACTATAGAAAGGGGGGAATAAAATTAATTGTTAAACGAAACGATATGCACCTCGAAAAATATTTCCATAAATGTACAGAGAACGTAGTATCGAGTAATAATAATAATAATAATTCGCTATGTACAGTTTTCGAAGAGAACAGAGAAAATGTTCGTTGAGTACTTTACTTCGCTTTTCCTGACTATTTCGGGAAAACGATCGATCGAAATCGTGTATTGTCGTGCTTCGTTGCTTAATTTCAACTCGTCGTAGTTTACATATACATATCTATGTCCTATCTGACATATTTCTGAAACTCTTTCAACATACACGCATACGTTCGAACCATGTTTTAGCATCGCTAGAAATTTCACAAGATATTCGCGTAGATCGATCGAAATAGGAACAGTTCTTACATCGAATCGAATGGAAGGTGACTTTACGAGTCTTTTCACCTAAAATCAATTCGAGAACAAGTTTAACAATTTCCGTGTATTCTATCGATAAATATGTTCGAGCAGGAGTCGACAGTTCCAGACTGGTGGAAAGCCAGAACTTGCACGTTCAACTATACGAGAATCCATACACATCAGAGTTCCTTGTTACATGTATACCGATCGCACGAGCTGTACACCTCGGGTGTGAAAAATTCGCAATTGATCAGCAGCGTGTTTCGTTAACAGGTCGTATAGTGTCCGCTCGTGCGGGTATCTTGTAGGTAAACTTGCAATAAGCATGCCAACAATCTTTGCAATAAGTATACAAAGTAAGCTAACAGTTAAGCAGAGGGAATCTAGGAGACAAAAGAGAAGAATGTCTCTATTTTATATTGTAACGGATAGCCGGATAAGTATTTTTCGGTACTGGCCGTATTTATCGTCTTGATCGATCGTCGCGTCGGGGACTGGGAATATACAGGGATATACGGTATAGTCGAAGAGAAGAGAAGGGTTGTATCGATTCGCCGCGAAGTAAACGATGAATCCTTCCTCTTTTCCGAGGCGTTAGTCGATTTCTCGTTGTTCTATGAACGAGGGAAAAATCGAACTAAAATCATCAGGGCCAATGCGAGAATACGAAAATTTCACATCACTTCTTGTGATCTTTTATCATCTGCTGTAGGGTATTTCAAAAGCTTTCGATTATTTGGATCGATTATCCGGGACAAACGAAACGAGATATTTAAGTAGCGTTTACGTTTGTACGAGTAAATATTATAATATTGTTAATTATTATTGTCTGTTTATCGAGTATGTCTAGAAGTTCCTTTAATTTAACACTGTTTCGATAGAGCATCACTGGTTTTCTACCATACTTTATTTAGATACTTTAATATCGATAAGAATGATTGAGAAGGTAAAAGTAAAATAGGGTAATAGTCCACGTAATCGAAAGTCTGACTCGCGTTGATACACGGCATATTTTATTAAATCAGTTTTCTATGTCGGTACAGGCAGGTAATTGAAAATACTTGGCGGGAAAAAAAAAGTAACTTGGTAATTAAATTAAAACGCGTGTATAGTAAACAGTCGGAGGTATTATAAAATATTACGGTAACGCGAAAAATTCATATTATTGCGAGAATATGTTCGATACCACGGTCTATAATATTGCGAGGAGAGTGATGAGATTACGCGTGAAATTTTAGTCTTAGCGTTTATGTATCTCGTGGACAATTCTAGAAAATTAGCGACCACGGAGAAGCAATTGTAAGTTGCGAGGATTTTATTGATTATCGAATTTTTTAGCCTTGACGATGAACCTATTTATCAACTATTTGGTCTTTACCCTCTCGTTCTGTGTAATATTATTCGACACTTTGCTCGATTTTACTGAAATTTGCGACACGACCAAACAATTATTGCGACGAATTAGCTCTATATCTGATAGTGTGAAACTTGCGTTACACACAACGTACTCGCGTATCAGCAATTTATCGTTCGAATCCGAGTTTTTGTATGTAGGAAAAGTTTCGTATATTCAGTGGTGTTCAGGTTCCGCAATCTTCAGTAAAGTTCATATCGTGTGCAAGAGAATCTTTAACAAACTCTCGCGATGTTCGGCATCGCACACGTTGTACATATTACAGAATAAATAGCGTTAATATTGTTGAAATTACGATACCTACCCAGACGGAACATCGAGAGTTAAGTAGTACTGGAAGTATGTTGGTCCGATACTGTGCAAATATAATTCATAGAAATTTTTATAACTATATGGATGATAGACCAATAACGAAAATACGTGTTCTATATTGTACGGTATCGACGGTGTAATATACAAAGTGTCTCAAAATGTGTGGTAAATCGCAACGATGATCATTCCGTTCGGAAAAAGTAAATGGTTGGAAAAATATTATTTTCCATTTTTATTAATTTTTTAAACAGAGAAATTATCCTTCCGTGCGTCGTATCGCGTATTTTGCCAGATCTAATTGTATATCTGACGCGTACACGATTAACATTATTTCAGTCTATTTCATTGGAGAAAAAAAATTGTTTGTATAAATCTGTTTTCCTTTGGTGTTCATATCGAGCAGCACGTACACTTTACGTGTACGTGTATGTATGTATGTATGTATGTATGTATATACATATAATTTGTTCGTTTTAAAGAAAGATCGAATTTCGTTATTTGTGCGAAAGCACAGAGAAGAGAGACTGGGAAGTATAATATTCTTGAAATCAAAATACTCTAATGGGCATTAACGTATCTTCCGCGAGCTTTGATAAAAAGTAAATACGAATATTTTTTACTGTTGCAATAATAGAAGGTAAATTGTGTAAATAATAAGAATTCAGACGACAAGAAGAGTCCGTACGCGTTGATCGAAATAAACATAAGCGCGGCAAGATGAATTACGATATTAAGTGATACAGGAACCAGTATCGGGTCAACGAGGTGAAAAAATTGGTCGCGCGTATCGCGTTCTGTCTGGGTAATCGATTAGTATTTATTGTTGTCGCCTAGTGCCTGAAGGCAGGAAATTCGTTCCCTGCGCGTTTCTCCCGAACGAAGAAGAGCCGAGTCGCGCGTGTAATTGGGATGAAACGCATCAAGGGAAAAGTTTTTAGTTGATAGACGTTGTCAGTGCCGTAACTAGAAGGCGCCCGCCCCTTGTTCGCTCACTCACCAAATCACGCAACTAAGTTTTATTTAAAGCCCGTTTAGCTAAACTAATCCGCAGACCGTAACTTGTACATATGTTGTATACTGTACATATACACGGATGTACTTGTACCAATTCGTTAACGGTAAACAGTAAACGATAAATAAGTGGTCCAATCGCGATACATTAATATATATATATATATATGCACGTATTTGATTCTCTTGTAAATATAGATTTCGTAGAGGTTTACAGGGTGAACGACCAAGCTTAAATTATTCTGGCAGCAGCAAGCGAAAACCTGCTGTAGTCGGGACAAAACCAATTGGCTGCTCGAGACCATTGGATAGCCCGTTCTCCCGCTACGATTTTCGCTCGTGTTACGGCTCCATTTTCGCATAATTCGTGGTGGGAGAAGTGGCCGTCGGCGGCCAATGAAGTTTCATTTAATTACAGAACCCCCGATTTTTTTTCGCGGAGAACATCGTTATCGATTACGATAGCGTAATTGATCAAAAGTCATCGATACGTAACTTTGCTTGCTACGACTTGCTACTTGTATAGCATCTTAATTGCTTAAGTAATTAGCTGGTAAGAATAAACTCTTCCGCGTTACTTACGAGAAATTGATTGCGAATCGACAAAACACAAACGCTTTCAAAATGGCATCTCAACAATGGCTAATGAAACGTGTTTCCTTTATCGATAATCGCATTACGCACCACCACTCTATTTTATTTAGTGTAATTTCGCGTGGTTTTTCTTTTTCCATCTTTCTCGGCGCAGTTTTCCTTTCTCTGTACGATATTTACACATGTTCGTTTGTTTCGAGCGCGGTGCCGCGCCGATTCCGTTGGCAATCGTTCTAGTTACGGTACTACACAAAATAATATATAAGGTGCGTATGTCGCACAAAGAACGCGCACGTCGCGTAAAACAGAATTTCTATAGACTGACTTTGAAGACTTAGTTTTAAATTAGGCATATCTCTTGTTTCCTTTGATATTTTCTTCTAATATATTTGCCGAATTAATTACTTCGGATGCGCAATTCGCAATTGCATATACGTATATTTTTCGCGACTGCATCCGACGCGTATCTTAAAATATAGTAAATGCGGTATTTTGGAGAAGTGCGTGATTCAAGAACTCGGTAACTGCAACTCCGAAAGTACTTGGAATAGTTTAATTCAGCCAAGATTAATAGGTAGTCGATGGAGTCCGGATCTTGTAATTTATACATATTTAATCTTTGTTCGACACGATCCTATTTCTATTTTAAGTTTATCTTTAACGATCGTTTCGTTTCCTACCTGGATTACGCACGAACTGGATAGGTAGTTAAGAAAATCTTGGCATTAAAGCAGCAAATTATTCGCGGTAAATAATCGATAAAGGAAAGTGTTAGCGTTAATTTGGGGTCGATAAAGCGTGTATTTTTTATCGTACGATCTGATCGCAAGACTCCTTCACCTCACTCAGGATCGTTTAAAGCAAAGCCGATGAAACTTCCACCTCGAATTCTTAATGCGCAAACAAAACCGGAGATGTGTAATCCTATATTTTATACGACTCCTTGTCACCCTGAGTATTGATAAGAAATCTTGTACGTCGCGTTCGCGTAAATTCTTTAAAAGCGTTATACGTCGCGTAACGCACTATGCCGAATGATTCCGACATCTTAGGATCCTGCACAGGTATTCGCATTCGTTTCTTTTCATTAATCCGATAATTATTTTATTTAATGATAAGCCTCGAGTAGACTTTAAGTTTGTTTTGGTCGTCAGCGTCGGTGTAGAACGTTGTTCCACGTTTGCGAACCGACGGATTCGCGTCGTTCGTCGAGTAGAGGATAAGTTGTTTGTCTTGGTTCGGTCTAAACGTTAAAAGCAAACGAGAGGAAAGAAAAATGCGAGAAAAGGATCACCGACAACGCCTCATTTCTATGAACAATTTCGCCGGACAAAAACAACACCGATCGTCCCAAGAGTCTCTCGGATACAATTGCTCGCGATCATTGGAAGCGTGTGTGTCGTTCGAAAAACAAGAGAATCTCGCAAATCGAAGGACCATTCTCAGCCTCGCGTCGTTTTCGTTGATTTTGTTAGATTTTCGCGCGCATGACTGTTGTTCGCGTTTTCACGGCAACGCAACGTGCATTTCCATCGGTACTTTCGTTAGAAAATGTGTTAACGGATTAAACGAGGGATACGAGGCCATGATGTCCTCCGAGGAATCTGAAACTTCTCTCTCTCTCTCTCTCTCTCTCTCTCTCTCTCATTGAATCACTTTCTTTAACACAAACTCTACGTGAAATAATTGTTCTCGATAACAGAGAGTGTTGCAAAACTTTTAGGCAGTCGTCTTATAGATTACCGTAATCTTTTCCATCAAACACTCGTGCTTTGCGTTCTCATTTGCATCCACAGTTTATCGTTGATCCTCGAATGGTTAAGCGAATCCTATCCTCGAAACGATTGCTCTTAGTTTTTCGGTGTTTTTTTTCAAATTCTAATACGAACGTAGCTTTCATGTTTGACGATGATTCCAAAATTATAACAATCTCGTAAAACGTGGCGAAAAAAAAAAACCAAAATTCAGACCTTTCCCTAAGAAACGTTATTCCTAATCAAAAAATCCTGCCATACCGTGTCTTCCAAGACAGAGACTACGAATAGCGAATTAGTTTAGTATTTATGCACAGTCATACGCCGTTATCCGTTGCGCGGTCGTGGCACTCGCGCGATGCAATCGCATCTTGTATCGAAACGACAACGCTCTATAAAACATCGGGAACGTTGATTGATTTTTCGTTACCATCATTGGGTTCAGCCTTTTCGTTTGTGAAAGCTAGGGCGGCGTAGCGACACGTGAAAAACGTTGAAAACTTTGTATACGAAAAACTAAAGTAATTAGAATTGTTAACGGTTGTGAGGTTTCACAATCGAGCAAATCGAGTAGTATATCGACGGATTAGGAGTTGCGTACGGGAAACTACGTAATATCAATTCTGAATGGCCAGTCCCAATAGTACAGATATCGCTAGAAATTATTTTCACAATTAGCGAAAAACGACAAAGTTGAAAGTTCGTAGCGAATGCGACCCGGCAACGTTCGATGACGGAGTAGGACTCTACCTCTAACCTGTAATAAGTTAAGTTGTCATTTACCCTGGAGAAAATGCGAACCGTGTGCGAGCATAAAGATTGTGTGAAGTCTGATCTCGTGGAATCGAAAGTACGGAAGAATACTTTGTACACAGGGAACGTTGTTTCGTTCACTCGTCGTTAAATTTCTGTAGCGAAAGATAGACGCGCACGCGTGAAGCGTTTACATTCTGTAAGATACGAGTTTTAGCGACTAGGCTTTGTCGAAAGATCAACGGTGGCACTAGTAAGAGTCAGCGATATCGAAGAGTTTCTACTTTATACTTTGTATTATTTCGTTCCTGCTTTTTTGGCCTCGTTCTTTTGTTCAACGCCATGGTCGACGCGATAGATTGAAAATTAAAAACCGATGTTATCCCAACGGTGCGTCATGTTTTCTCTTACCGCTGCGTCAAGCGAAGCGACCATATATATTTTAACGTTTACGAATCTTTTTACTTTACACGGTGAACCGAACAAGAATTGTCATTTATAATAAGTAACGAGATACCAATGCGAGAAATGATTCGAAAACAGAAACGAACCGTACGATGTAGCATTTCGTATCGCACCAAACGATAAATGATATTGTTTAAAATGCATCACACATTTTTTTTATCCGTTTTATTTAGCGCTTGTATTATATATGACTTTTGTTCGTTGAAATTCATTCGACTACATCTTCGATCTCTCGCCCCGGCCTTTGCCGATTTCGCCACACATAATTACACAAATGTACATACTTACATTGCACTAATTTAGTATTGCCGCTGAGTATTACAACTAGTCACATAAGCCAAAAGTTTGTTACTCTCGCAAAGTTTTCTTTTTTCTCAGTTTTGTAATAAAGGAGGATGAGTAAAACTCTTGGATTTCATTTCAGAATTTATACGCCCTTCCAACTGTTACGATATAACTGCCGCACTATCGCGGTAATTGCGACTAAGAAAATGTGCGCTAATTGACGACCGCAAGGATAAAGATATACAGGGTTAGCACAAAAATGTTGTAACACCTTGAAAGAGGTGGTTCGGCGAGTGATTTGAAACAACTCTTTCCTTGGCGAAAATGTTGTTTCAAATCGCTCCCCGAACCACCCCTTTCAAGGAACTCCAACATTTTTGGGACACTCTGTGCGTGTATGCTTTATCGGTCGTATCGTGCTATCGTTTTCAACTTCTTGTACCGTGTACCGTGTACGAGTACGCGTAGAAAAGTAAACGTTCCAAATTTTTACAACGAATCATTTATTTATTTACCATTCTCTTCGATTCTATATGAAAATAATAAAATTTGACGATACTTTCTCGATACGTTTTCAACGATAGAATTGTGTATGTCAGCACGTTGCGTTCGAAAGAATTGCGAAATCATGTTGCATAGTCTAACCACGTCACAACGCAAAGTCGAGATATGTCATACACTCGAGTTTTCTAGTTATCGTCTCCTCTTTTTTTCGTTCATTACGCTCTCATCCGTCTGGTTTCCATCCTTGTTTCGATTACGACTATCGCGACTATCGCGACTTTGGTCACGATCTTTCGGGCTTCATTACAGATAAAGATACTCTCTGGTAAGAGCGCTTTTCTTCTCTATATTGTTTTTTTCTGTTTAACAATACACTCGAACAATTTTTATCATTATCGCGAGTGTAGAGATTTTATCGCTTTATTTTTTGCTACTAACCTTGATAATTTATGCGGCTGGTAAATTCTAAATGCGAGTTATTTCACAGTTTGATAACGTGCAAGGTATTCGAGCCATTGTAAGGTATTTCTTAAACAAGTGCACTACGTAGTTTGTATTTTCAACTAAACGTCAGGTATAGTTAGAAATTATTGCATAATGGTATGGTATTAAGTATCTTTAATCGCAGGTTAACGATACACGAACGGATCGACGATTAGTCCTCGTTTGTCTAGCAAGAGTAACAAGCGAAAAGTCTACCCAATAACTTAGACTTGACTAATATTGTATTCTTCTCAAATTGACCGCTATATCTATACATTTTCGACAATGGGAGTTTCCAACGATAAAGAAACAATGGCTCGTTGTGCGGGATTTTCGATACTCGTTTTTCTGCTGTCGATAAATGAAATTTCCACCGCGAGAGTTTGTAATTCGTCCATAGAAAGCCGTAAGTCCATCGAATCTGTTTGAATCGTGAGATAATTTTAGAAAGCATTTGTGTTTTACGAAAATTCATCGATACAGTCGAGAATTTGATTTGTATACAGAGCAATCTCGCATCGGTATACTTATTTCGCCCATAATTTCGGATTCGATATCGCAAGAAATTGAAATTCACTGGAATAACGTGAACCTTCAGCCTAGCGAGAAAATCGTGCTTGCGGAGGAGAATAATAATTTGGGCTCGCCAACAATAAGTATAGTTTACAACGTTACATCTAACGGACCGAGTGGCATTGAACAAACTGGGATACCGTCGACATTTACGCCTAATTCGAGTCTACTTTTCGAGCAGCAATGCTCGAGTGAGTAACGGTTAATATTTTCAGTTTTATTTCAAAGAAATAATGTGACGAGTAGTCGAATAATTTTCTTCAGAATATAAAGTGGCGGTATTGACGGTAGAAGGCAACTTGAAAGATATAAATTGTCTCAAGACGCAACCGACTTGGATGAAACAGAGAAAACATATTCTTGGTCCGCTTAGAATTAGCCAAATTTTTCTTCCTGGTACGCACGATTCCGCGTCGTATGCGCAGCGGAACGATGGCGGAAATATCATCTCAAGATTCGCTATAACGCAGGTAACGCGGAAAATTTCAATTTGTAGCTGTATGTAGAAATTGACACGCAACATTAACGAATCCTCAGGATATAGACATACTCGGTCAACTGATACATGGTGCACGATACTTGGACATCAGAGTTGGACACTATCCTTCTACAGACGAGATTTGGTGGACTAATCACGGAGCGTTTTATCGTTCGGTATCGTTGAAAACTGTTATAGATCAAGTAAAACAGTTTCTCGAAAATACCGAAGAAATCGTGATATTTGACCTCCACGAATTTCCTATTGGTAATCCCTTAAACTTTATTCCGACGCGATCAATTTGTCACCGAAAGCCTTTGTACTTAATTGTAACGCAGTCTTCCTTTTATTAGGATTCGACAATATAACGATTCATCGGAAATTGGTATCGTATTTAGAGGATCAATTTAGAGATTATATCCTAACGAATAATTATGGATGGTCTGTGACGATGAATGACGTTTGGTCTTCCGGTAAAAGATTGATAATCGGTTATGAAAACACGCAAATTGTTCAGGAACATGCTAGCATGTGGCCTTGCGTGCAACATCAATGGGGCAACGTCAGAACCATCGAGGATCTGTACAAACACTTGAATTCGATTGAAAACAATGACAGGTAAGAACGTAAGAAGTCTGAAAGGTGATGTAACGCTTTTTAAACACACCAAACGACACTCGAGGCTTAATCGATCCATTTTCCTTTAGCGAGAATAGAGTGAGACCACGATCAGCGATGGCAGAATTGACGCCGAACGCAATCGACGTGATTTCCAATCGGCTTGGAAACCTTCGCGACATGGCGCATAGAGTAAATGCGAATGTCACAAATTGGTACAGTACCGTTTGGCAATACACTGCCAATATCGTGGCAGTAGATTTCGCGAGGAGTACCGATATCGTTGAAACCGCCATTAAATCTAACGAGAATCGTCACTTACACTGTCGATATTAAACGCTTCTCCAACCAAATTTCACAAGTCCCTTATCCAGATTAATTGTTCAACCAATGATGTCTATATATCTACGGAAAAATATTATGTAGGGCTGTACGATTTGATCGAATCGTCATCTTTATTTTAATAGTTTATCATTTTATTTCAATCAATAAAGCATTCCGTGCTTGTCCTCACTCGGTTCACGTTTATGCAATATTTTTATAAAAGGATCGCTTTTAACATTTTCTGCGCGAGCATTTGCAAACTACTTTTTTTCCGTGACAATGAGACTTCCGCCGGAAGAGCGAATAATGCCTTGAACCAAGGTAACCGCTTCAATAAAATCTATCGTACATTACGAAATGAAATCTGTCGTAGAGATCAGTTTAAAATATGTTTTAAACCGCGTCAGTCGACCGCAGAAAATGTCTTTCTTGTCTATGTTCTTGTACCTTGTTTTCGTGTTAGTTATTACCGCACAATCGCAAAGTTGCTCCAGTGAAATATATTCAAAGAATTCCGACAGTTGCCCGAACGATAAGAAATGCACTTTTATCGAATTCTGCCCGGTTATATTAAATTTGATGAATCGGAATCTGCTTCCAATTCACAGGTAAACTGAAGCAATTACTTCGCCATGGCCAATCGTTACGTTACGATTAAGAAAAGAAAAAAAAAAAAGAAAAAAAGGCGATAGACCAATAAATAAACGTTTAGCTATCAAAATTTTGTAATCGCACCAACATGTTTTAATATCGATGCAGATTTCGCCAAGCGATCTGCGGCTATGACAGCAGTAAACCATTGGTGTGCTGTGACGTGGATGACAATGTTGCGAATCCAACTTTCGCCCAAGAAGATGGCTCATTTTTTACAAGATCAAATTCGATTTCAGAATGTGGGAAAAGCTTCGTTCGAAGCAGCACCAATACCGCAGGAATATACCCCTTTATCGCAAGAATTGGCTTTAGAAGTGAGAATATGTACAAACCACATATCGATAATAAAGCATACATTACAGACTAATTTTGTCGTAGATGCAATGGGAGAAATAAAATATCCTTGCAGTGGAGTAATTCTAAACGAACGTACGATATTGACTACCGCAAGTTGTGCTCTTGCAAAGTCTGACGACTACAAACTGTACGTAAAACTATTTCGTAATTTCCAGTACGAACCTTCAAATTTATTCTTAATAATCGTGTAACAGATATTCCATTATCGTTGGACAATTTAATACCGATACCGATTCCGGTTGCGATACACAGAAAAATAATATATCGTATGTAATAAAGCACCCAAATTACAACGCCAACACTTTTACGAACAATATAGTAATGTTACGTTTAAGAGAATCGATACGATACACGGGTAATTACCGAATTCATTCGAACAAATTATTTGAAATTGTTATAAACAAATTTTTTTTTTTTTTTAAATATATCGAGACTTGATAAATATTTGTTTTGTCTGTTTAGCAACCGTGCAGCCTATATGTCTTCCTCCAGGAGACAGATACATAAATCGAAACATCGATTCCGTTCTTGTTGGATGGGGCAAGTTAACGGGTCAAACAAGTAAGAGGAATGTACGATACATAAAAATGAATGGAAAAATATGTTTCAAGTATTACGTATTGTATTTTCATTTAAGCGACATCCTGCGAGCAACAGTCTTTGAAAATGAGAATTATATCGAACCGTGAATGTTCAAGTTACTATAATCAAGGACTATCTGTCGAACTATGCGCGAGAGGAAATGAAATGCCTTGTGCGGGATACAGTGGAAGTCCCCTTTTATATAAATACGGTGACACACATTTTTTGGTAAGAATCTTAATACACCTTTTCAGTTTTTTATTCTGAATATATTTACAAGAAAGTCATGTACATTTATTTACTATAAACAACAATTCTTTTTACACAATTTTTAGTTAGGCATTTTATCGTATGGTTCTAACTGCAACATGGATGCCAACTTTCCATCGGTCTTTGTCGATGTACAAAGATATATATCCTGGATTCTGAACAACTGTTAATCGTTCATTTTTTATTTGTGTTTGAAAATGTTTAAGTACTTTCCACGCGTCATCTCTTTTGCCTCTTCCAATCCTAATTGATAAGCCGTATCGTGTAACTTTTTCACTTCAGATATTAAACCTGTCATAGATAAGTTTCCTAATTCTGAAATAAAACTGCTTTTAAAATTTACATGTACAAAATACATTTACTATAACTTGTGCCCCAACCGTTAACTTACGATGTAATTGATTTATATCGTCTGGTGTAAGACTGGCAGCCCAAGACGACGGCTCAATTTGAGGCGAGTTTTGAGCAACAAACTCGTTAACACCTGGAACTTGATTAATCGCTACATATATGATATATCATCACATTTATTTAAAAGAAGCATAAAATTCTATTGTACAAACTTACTTTGTTCAGGCCATAAGTCAGGCGACGCTCGATCGAGCTTTTCCAAACTCATAAGACTTTCTTCCACGCAAATTAGATCTATAATAATGGAAAACGAAACAATAAATAAGGACAAGGTATTCGGGTAATCCGATAAATTTTACCTGGCTGATCTACCGGCTCTTCCGAGGACATTGTACCCGATGGAACTGTTACTCTTTGATTCGATAACGTAAACACTACGACGGATGTTTTGAAAACAGATATACGATGCTATCGATACCAGTTAACCGCGATACACCGCTCGGTATTTGTAACAAAAAAACTATGTTTACGATTTACGATTTAAGTTCTTGCTCTTCTTTTTCGGAGTTTCGCAATGTCTTTGTCAATTCCCTTTGTTGCTCGAGATAATACAAGTTCTGTATTCTTCGACGTTCTTGTCTTTCGCTATCACGAACTACACCTAAATGAAGCTGTTGTCTATAAAAATATATAAAGTCAAGATTTATTGTTAATTGTCACATTTATTCAAAGCCAAGTCCATTTTGCACAAGAAATACTCGGTGTTAAATGCAATTTACGCGCCACATTACTTAACCTAACTTTTCACTAGAAATTATGTTAATTGCGTACCTATCGTATTCCTGTCTATAATGAACATAACCTGCAATACTAATCGACCCTACACAACACAATACAAATGTGGTTTTAGCTGCAAATGACATTGTATTCTTGACTTCAAATTTTCTTTTTTTTTATTTTCTATTCGAATACAACATTACGTATACGCTTTTCAACGCTTTTATTGGTATCGTCATCTCGCGGTGAGAGGATCGAACTAAAATTCGTTATATGGCTTTACATATACATATACGAAACTCTTGTTAGACTTTGATATTCGTATTTTTTAATTGGGTTCGGCCCTAAATAAATTAATAATACTCTGTACAAATGAATTATCCGAGAATGACAATAATATTGTCAGTTTTTGTTGGTTGTCCAATTTGCTCGAATTTACGAACCCTCGCCATCTAGCGGCAACAGGGTGGAACTAATTTTCGAAGTTTGGTCAGCGCCTCTATCGGGAAAACGCTCAAGCTTGTCCTCAATGGTTCCTTTTTTCACTGTTAGATGGCGCCATTTAGACGATAATTACCCATATGATGGTAATGTATCGACACCGGTCGGTAAAAGAGAAACAACGTAAATGGCGTCATCTAGCAGTGAAAAAAGGAACCATCGAGGACAAACTTGAGCGTTTTCCCGATAGAGGCGCTGACCAAACTCCGAAAATTAGTTCGACCCTTTCACCGCGAGATGGCGATACCAGTTATTTTGCGTATCCATAGAAGCGTATTTACACAAAAATATAACATTAACGCTGTTTAAATCAAGTATATCCAAGCCTAGCCAAGCCATGAAAGCGTATACGTACTGCTGTGTACGAATATATATTGTTTTGTTTTTAATTAATTATACAAGTTCTTTATTAAACGTAAATATACAGTTGATATAACGAAGCATCATTGAAGAGACTTTTACAACGATTATATCGTACCGAATATTTCATTACCTATTCGCTTTGGGAATGTATTATCAGTTCGAGAATTAATTTGCCATTTATCAAGGTAATATATTATTAAATAATTATCTGGCTTCTATAATCAACTCGGTTGTTACATGTAATCCAGGCGTGGCAACTGTTACGAAATAAGCACTGCTAGAAACTCGACGATATTTTATCTGTATATTTAACCGTTTGCAAATGAATGACGAAAGAAGTAAATTCAATAATAAAGTAGCTTCTTAAATTGATGATTTCAGTGATTTCTGCCGAATATAAAATGGTAATATCATTCGCGTTCTCGTAGATTTCGAGAATCGGTGCAAACGGGGAATAAAGTATCGTTGTATGTAACGTAAATTTTTGTTAAATTCCGAATGAAATTTATGAATGAAATAAGAATCGCGTTGCAGATCGTCTTTTTAGCGATATTCTAGCAGGTTTGCGCGGTGTCTCCGTTTTCTATTACTGCCTACAGAGGGATGGTAATCCTCTCGTGACCACGCAAGTATCTGGAACGTAATTGGGACCGGAAGGAATCTTGATCTCACGGAAGGGTGGAGACAACGTTGCTGGGATATAGGGTCCGTTCTTATCTGCGGAATACAGGCCACGTTTCTCTACCTCTCCGCGTTCCACATCTCGTAGGATATATCGCGAGTTGTGGAGCAACGTAGGACGCGACATCGGCATGATGAATCGACCGCGTTTCCTGGGAGCTCTGCCAGTCGAACAGAGCCGCGGCAGATTCTTTGCGCACGAATTCGGCTATTCGCGTATCCGAAATTTCAATGATTACACATGTACAGGGGGCTCGATGACGAAATTCTTTAGGAAAGTAACGCGCGCGTCGCATATAAGAGTGTTCGCTGGGAGCGTGGAAAGCGTGAGAGAAATGTTTAGGATATAATTATCGAATTCCGTCGGATGACTCCTGAACAACTCCCGGTGCCGATGCATCCTTGGTGTGAGCTTTACCGAACTTATATAATGCATGCGTAAGGAGAATGGACCACCCATGTAGAGAGGTCTCTCTCGACTTGGCCTCGAGTACCATCAGGAGTCGCGCGCGGACCAAGTACTCCATCGGGCGAAGCAGTTGCTCGGACAGCATACCGGGTAGAATATGACACCAGCTACGAGACTCGGGTTTTTCTATCGGTAGAATAATACCGCGCCGCGTACCATTGCTGAAACATGTTGCGAATCGCGAATAATCTTGCTACTTGCGGGAAACAGGTTCTCTGGTAAAAATCAATTTTATCGCATAACGCGTCACGATCGGCAGTAGGTCCGAAGAAAAAGAAAATCTGGATAGACGATAGCTCGTGTCCAACGCCGACATCACTTTATTCGTACGTATATATCTTTTAATCGCGAAATAAACGATATCGATGAAATTATCGTATATCGTATTCGTTATATCGAGCCAGCTTCTTTGGTTTCCAGTATCGCGATACATACGTTATACGTATTCCGAAGTGTGCACGATTATAGAAATACAAGTATTCGAGGTAGAATCTGCAAAAGGATACGTAACCGAGACGAAGGTTCATCCTTTGGACAGAATCTATTTTGTACTTCCGGGACACATAGTATATCGAACGAATCCGTAGAAAGCGTACCGGAATGACGAGTCGTGATGCTCTTCCTTCGTGAAGAGCAGTAGAGGCCGAAGATTTCAGGTCAGTCCGTCTCGAGAGCATAATGCATCACAGTACGGGAAAGAGTTGTGTAAACGAACTTTCATGAACTTCCAAAAGTAGTCGCTTTTTTCCCCCCTATCCTCCTTCAGCTGTTGATGTTTTCGCCAAAGCGCCTCTGCACTTTTGCATACCGTATACCGCGCGCAGCGCCTGGCTTCGACGTATTCCCAGCGTTCTTCGGTGTTGCATCGACTCGCGCTGTCATTCTCTCATCCTCTCTCTTTCGTCGAAATGGCGATCCTATTGAAAATAGTTGTGCATCGTTATTAACGCTTGTACAGACAGCGATCAAATTTGCCTCTCTCGATAAACAAAAAAGTCAGACTGGAAATTCTTAAAACCGAGATCGTGTGTGGTCCAGCGGAGGTGTTAATCGAAAGACTCGCTTCTGTCTTGCTTCTAACCGGCCCTTCAATTAGTATACATATATCTCCTACCTCCTCTGCGCGTGGTATATGGAATCAAGCTTCGAATCGTCTCGACTCTTGAACCATTCGATTCGAAAATGAAATACTTTTACGCAGAGTTTTCGACATTCCTGTTCATGTTTTATTTTGTTTAGGCATCGAGTAGAACTGCATTCCCGTGGTCGTTTACCCATGAATATTCGATGAGCAATTTAAGCAAACGACGCTGACAATTGGCACTCATTGAACAAGTTCTACTCAGAAATGCGCGTACGACGCTCATAAATATTAATTAACAGCCTTTCTGGTCGATGTTCTCGCGTCTGGTCAAAGACACCACCGCTAGGCGAACCAGGCCCAACCATCCGACTTTCGAATTTTCTTTGAAAAATGTTTGGCTAACGTTTCGTTAGCGACGAATTTTAGAAAATAATTCGTAGCGCGACGAGAGCCGCAAAGTTACAGACCTTTGTTTGTTTAGGTAGGGAGTTTGTCGTTATTTAAGAAACAACACTAACAAATAGTAAAAAGTAAAATCCTCGATCCGTATCCGGAATCGTCCAATTACGATTAAAAGAGCTCGAAACGGTGAACTGGAGAGCACGTTCAACCCCCTCCAACGACGCGAGAATCCATGAGCCACAAAAGCCTGTCGCGAACTAATATTTGACGGGTGCAGCTTTCCAAAGAAATTCCGAGGTGCAAAGCGAATCCAACGCAAACCGTTTGAATGAAGTTGCCTTTTTGTTATACTTTACCACCTGTCGCGTGTGTGCGCAGGGGTGTGGGTCTAGAAAGAGGAGCGAAAGAGGAGGCGCGAAGATGAAAGCGGAACGGAGAACAGAAGAAAAAGAGAGGGATACCGTTACGGCGGATACGAGAAGGTGAGAGTGTTCGTATACATATATATTATATATATAATATATGTACAATATATAAACATATATGTATACGTATAGACATGCGTGTATGTGTGTGTTGGGAGGAGGAGAGGTGGGTGGGTGAAAGAGAATGGGTAGCGGGTTAGAGGGTGAACGGAGGAACATGTGGTTCTATTTGTAAAAACAAAGTTTGCGCGGGACAAACACGGGCAGACAGTGGCGGGCCTAGTCGGCCTCCAGGTAAAAGCGCAACAAAGACTCGATTGCATTCCGTTTCACTCCCTCTGATTCCTTTTCCCTCGTGTTCAGAGGCGTGTTCCGCGTTGCTCGCGCAACGTCCAAGTACTGTATGATGGCTGTTGACCGATCTCTGCGGTCCCGTCGAGCGAATCTTAATTAACCCTTTAACTATCGCGTCGAGTAGCCGTGAGGACGTTGCCACGAGAGTAAGCCTACGTCGTTTAAATTTAACGTTTCTCAAAATTGCTGCTCGTTTCGAGGCTGTGTATGCTTGGTATATCGTCCCGTTGCGTTGCCCTACGGAATATTCTCTAACTAAAGAGGGACGGTAGGAGCTCCGTAAGGCATTCGTTATCGGTCCGACGTTAACCGTCTTATTCTACTTGAAGTCTCGAACCGCTGCGCGCTAGCGTTGGCGTTACTTCGATCCGGAGTATGCGAGTAAGCAAGTTCCGCGAAAAATGACGTATGTTTATCGAGTAAGAAATTGCGAGATAGGGAACTCGATAGAGAAGATTTCCTCGCGATTAATCGACA